GGGCAGGCGAAGGAACCACTGAGCTAAATCCCCAGACCCTGCCCCCACCCTTTTTAGTTTTCATTTCAAGGCAGGCTCTCCAGTCTTGCTAAGTTGCCCAGGCTGGGCTCAAACTTTGATCCTCCTGCCTCAGCCTCCCGGAGGAATGGGATTATAGATGTGCAGGGCCAACCCAATAGAAGTTTTTAATTTTGACAAAGCACAGTTTATTATTGTTTAATGGATCATACTTTTGGTGTCACATCTGAGAGCTCTTTGCCAAACCTCAAATCAGGAAATGCTTCTCCCTGTTCTCTCTCAAACATTTTGTATTTAGAGCTCTGGTGTCCTGGGGGGTTAATTTTGGTGTAAAATAAGGATCAGCTGAGGTTTGTGGTGCTGTTGTTTTCATTAGCATCCTATTGTTCCAAAACCATGTGCTGACAACCTGTGTTTTCTCTGTGGGCAGTGAGATTCCTCCATTATTCTGCATTTTCTCTTACTTACTTACCAGAGTCTTTGCTTTTTACATAGAAATTTTAGAATCAAAAACTCAGAAAATTCACATATACTTTTTTATGGGTTTTTGTTTGTTTGTTTGTTTGTTTGTTTGTACCGGGGATCGAACTTGGGACCTTGTGTTTTCAAGGCAAGCACTGGAACCACTGAGCTAAATCCCCAGCCCCACTTTTTTCTGTTTATAAAAAAATCCAGCTTGGATTTTGGCTAGAATTACAATGAATAAACCGATCGATTCGCTTGGGGAGAACTGATGTCTTTGCTCCGTTGTCTCCCAGTTCACCAACACGGATCTGTCTTTCCATCCTGTCCCTGTGTCTCCTTTACCAGCGGCTCAGTTGTGAGCAAGCTCCTCTGGTACAGGTTCTGTTAGATTTAAACCTAGGCGTTTCAATGGGGGGGGGGGGCCCTGCAAATTGCATTGTGTGTGTTAGTTAGTGAGACGGGGTCTGGCTGTGGAGCCCAGGCTGTCCTGGAACCTGAACCATTCCTCCCACCTCAGCCTCCCAAGTGCTGGAATTAAAGCTGTGCACCACCATGTCCAGTTTTAACCAGAACGTCTGAGCTATTGTTTCTTCAAACGTATTTTCCTGTGCCTCGCTCTTTCTCCTCTCCAGGTCTCTGGATTCGCCCTTTTCAGTCCTTTGACCAGAGCTCCCCCTCCCCCCGCCCCACAGACATCCAGTGACCCAGGTCTGCCGCGGGGAGGGCAGGTCTCGCTTCCTTGGCCGGGACTACGGCGCCCCCTGGCGGAAGGCGAGGCTCCTGCACGCGGGGTTGAGGGGCAGCAAACACTGTCTGCCTCTTCCCTCCCGGGACCCCGAGCTGCTGTCCCGGCCCAGAGCTGCGGATCGCGGATCTGGAGTGTGGCGCGGCTTCCTTCGTCTTCCAGGAGTTGCAACCTGTTCAGCTGAAGTCAACATCATAAAGAAAAATGTAAACAGGGCGTGGTGGTGCATGCCTGTACTCCCAGCACTCTGGGAGGCTGAGGCAGGAGGATCCCAAGTTCAGGCCCAGCCTGGGAGGCTTAGTGACTTAGTAAAACCCTGTCTCAAAATAATAATAATACTTTTTTTTTTAAGGGCTGAGGATGCAGAGGCCCTGGGTTCAATCCCCAGTACCACAAAAAAAGAAAGAAAGAAAGAAAGAAAGAAAGAAAGAAAGAAAGAAAGAAAGAAAGAAAGAAAAATGTTAAAAGTGATTGTGCCGGGGATTTAGCTCAGTGGTTCTGCCTTGCAAGCACAAGGTCCTGAGTTCGAACTCCAGTACCAAAAAAAAAAAGTGGTTATGCATACTTACAGAAATGGGAAAAATAATCACAAAATAGTTGCTTTTAGGAGGTGTGGGCTTCACTTGGCAGCAGACAGCCCGCTGCTCTCACCAGCTGTGCTGGCCTGAGTCCTAAGACTCATTCCTAGACGCGAAAACTTAAAAATAGATCAGACCCTTTGATTTGGGTAGATACTTGCGTGACCTGAGATGGGAAATTAACTTGGCACAGCGAGGGCTGCCAAGGGACCAGCACCCCTTTCTTTTCTTTGGCTGGCTGGCCTGTGATGGGAAGGGGCCAGCTTTCATTGACGTGGGGTGGAGTCCTAGCTGTGCCTGAGGATGCATCTTCCCCCATTGGTGGTGACGAACTGTGAGTGCTCACTCTCTTCGGAGAGGCCCAGTCTCTCTTTCTGTTTTTGTGACAGTCTCATCCTCCCATATTCCAAGCTGACCTCCTGCTCAGATCCTCCTGCCTCAGCCTCTCAGGTACTGGGATGGCTGGTGTGCGTGGACGGAGGCGCCCTCTGGTGGAAGTGTTCTGGGCTGAAGAGACAGAGGGTCAGAGCAGGGCACATGTCAAGGAGGAAGCCCTGAGTGTCCGCTGTCCATGCCCCTCTCCCCCCTGCTGCACGGCAGGAGTCGGAAGCACAGACACAGACACGCGGCGCCTGTCACAGAGGGGTGAGCCCCGGTGATGAGGTGCTGCCTCGGGTCCGAGAGCCTGGCTGGGGCCTGGCGAACCTCTGTTCGGGAGAGGAGAAACCAGCCAGGTGTGGTGGTGCACACCTTTAATCTCAGCACTCAGGAGGCTGAGGCAGGAGGACCGCTGTGAGTTTGAGGCCAGGCTGGGCTACATAGCAAGAGCCTGTCTCTAAAAAACAACTGCGACAGAGAGGAGAAGCCTTCTCCCTGCTGTCCGCTTTCTCATCTTCTCCTGCTGCGGCCCCAGCTCTCCCCCCACTTCTTCTTATTGAGACAAGGTCTTAAGTCACTAAGTGGCCCAGGCTCCCCTTGAATTTGTGATCCTCCTGCCTCAGCCTCCCAGAAGGCTGGGATGACAGGCGTGTGCCACTGCCTTATCTGTATGTTTTCTTAAATGTGTATTCCTATGGCTGTCGTTAGTTAATTTTGTTTCCTGAGGCTATAAAACTGGTGCTAATCCCTGCTGCGGTTGTGCCCATGGTGGGGACAAATGGCTAAAGCGTGTTAAGAAGGGGACCGGTCGTTCTTCAGAGCACTGCTCTCTCAGAGAAGGTCCTCACTCATTTCTGTGTCGGTGTCACTGGTGTTTCCCAGTGAAGCGGCTGGCCGGGTTGTGACAGAGCCCAGCAGAGGCAGAGACTCGGGGAGACCAGGCTGTCAGTCTTCAGCCTGTTGGATTCCGATACATTTGTTTTTCTAGGATCTTAGGTTATTTATTGGAGCCCCGCTCTTTTTCTATTTAATTGTGTGAGGTGTGTGTGTGTGTGCTTGGTTTTCTGAGACAGGCTCTCACTATGCAGCCCAGGCTGGTCTCCAACTGTCAATGATCCTCCTGCCTCAGCCTCCCAGAGAACGGGGATTATAGGTGTGCGCCACTGCACCTGGATAAAATCTGAAGCTTTTTGAGCACTGATGTGACACTAAACGTGGAAAATTCCACACCATGACAGTTTCAGGCCCACGGTTATTACCTTCAAGTGATATGTACAAAGTGCATATGAAACAAATGAATTTCATATTTCAACCTGGGTCGCATCCCCCTAATATCCCATTATGCACACATAAATATTCCCAGATCAAAGAACAAATTCAAAATCCAAAACACTTCTGCTCCCAAGCATTTTGGATAAGGGAGATTCAGCCTATGTATTTATTCAGAGCTTTATGAGCTGCAAAACATTTCGCATTTGTGATCAAACTTGAACTTCAGAGAAAGCAGAAGCTGGGGGTGGGACGAGAGAGCTTCGCTACCGGGCAGCAGCACCAGAAAGGAAGCTGGTGTCCACCCCCTCTCCTTGCACCCCGCCCCACTGTCCCTGTCCCTGTCTGCAAGGTGGCTGTGGCCTGCCCCTTAGCTGAGTTCTGGAGCTGTTATGGTTTGGATCTAAAATGTCCCCCCAAAGTCTTGCATGTGTGGGCAGTGACTGTGCCTGTGCCACAAGGTGTAGTGCTCACCAGAGGATTCATCCATGGACAAGTCCCCGGATGAGTGTGCTGTAGGAGGTGAGGCCTGGTTGGAGGTGGTCACTGGGGTGTGACTGGAACAGTGAGTTCCTGTCCCTGCTCCTCCCCTCTCTCCCTGCTTCCTGGATGCCCTGGGTCAGGCCAGTCCCTTCTACCATGCTGTTTACGTCCTGGAGCAGCCGGCTATGGACTGAACCCATTGAAACCGTGAGCCAATTAACTCCCCCTCTGTCATAAGCTGTGGGTGTCGGACACTGTGTCCCAGCAATGGGACGGTGACCAGTATTCACTCCTTCAGCACCTCCCCCGGGACATCGGCACCCAGGAGCTTGGATTCACACTGCACCTGGCACTGCTGGGCCCTTCTGAGTCCCAGTGTTTGACCCATCTGCTGGGCCCACCGAACTCTGAGAGTTGGGAAAATTTCTTCATGTAAAAAAAGGGAGAATTTTGATTATGCGGCATGTACAAGGCATGATGGACAAATATGGTGAATATTTAAGCCAAAAAATTATAATGAAAGATACATTGCCTGCAAAATCCTCCCCTCGCTGGGAACACACTCGTCCCATCATCCTGCCCACTTCCTGCAGCAGCTCTGGAGCCCTCTTTCCTGAGGGTCTCTAGTTTTGCTGTCATGCCTGCCTCAATGTCCTGAATCGATGTAAAACGTTCCCTTTCGTGGTCATTTTGACTTTGGGGAGGAGCCAGGTGTCACGTGATGCCAGATCTGCTGAGTAAGGTGGATGAGGACATAGCGTCATGTTTTCATGAGCTGCCTTTCCGTTGGATGGCGCTGGGTGGCTGCATTCACCTTAATTTTGGTCAAACCTCATAAAGACAGTAAAGATGACTTTCAGAACTGCTTCAAAAGTGGCAAGAACGAGGCCAGGTACGGTGGTGCACACTTGTAATCTGAGCCCGAAGGGAAGGCTGAGGCAGGAGGATTGCTGAAAGTCTGAGGCCACCCTGGGCTGCATAGCAAGGCTGTCAAAGCAGAAGGGAGGACGCCTCCACCTGTCAGATGGCTGGGACTCAGAGGGGACCCCTTGCCTCTGCAGGACATGAACCACCAGTACACACGCCGCGAGGTCTTCTGCGGGAATACCTGCCACGACCTCACGCGCTTCTGGGAGCGGGAGATCAGCAAGCAGATGCACCGCCGCCAGTCGGAGGAGAGCCGCCTGGGCCGGAGTGCCCTGAGGAAGTACGCAGCCCCCGCCCCCGGGGGCGCACTTTGATTTTAATGCGTTGGCTTTTAAATCTAAGCTTTATTTCTAGGTCGGCTTTAGTTCATAGCCAGTTTGGGCAGCAGGTAGGAGTGGTTTCCCTGTGGGCCCCCCACCAGCTGCCCCATGTTCAACCTCTGCGAAATCCTGCGGGGACACACCTGCGACAGAGGGCGAAGCGTCCTTTACTCTTCTTGGTTGTTATTTTTAAAACCAAAATCGATTTCCCCTGAGTGCCACACGACCATCATAGAGGATGTTGGTATTTCAATCATGTCTGCATCCGGGCCCTGAATTCTTTGTAGACTCCTGCAGCAGTGTATGGGGGGCACACATCTGTGAGAAGCAATGGAGCAAGTGACACAGTGGCCGATTCCCAACACTCAACTGGGGGAGACCCCTGCGTGGTTCTGAAGGCAGGCTAGAGGTCTCCCCCCATTCTCTGCAGCCCAGGGTGACCATCATGGTGGGACAGTGCAGCCCGCTGCCCCAAGCTTGCAGAGGGGCTTTGAACTTATGATCCTCCTGGCTCAGCCTCCCTAGTATCCTGGGCTTACGGGTGTGTGTAAACACACCTGGTTAGAAAACATCTCTATTTCACTTGTTTTTGAAGGATCGCTTTGCGGTGGGAGGAATTGTAGACCAGGTTTTCCCTCCTGTATTTAAAGACATTGCACTGTCACAGAAAAGTTAAAGGTGGACGTGGTGGTGCATGCCTGTCATCCCAGCATTGAGGAGGCTGAGGCTGGAGGGTCCCTACAAGTTCAGGGACAGCCTGGGCTACCTAGTGAGACTTTATTATTTATACAATTTAAATATTAGCATATATTTACATTTGCAAGTCCCTTGCATGCCCTTTTAAAATCTGAATGCACACACAGTTGGGGGGGGGGGTCCCTGGCAGGCGATGAGCCCCCTCTTCGTGCGCTCACTCTATTTCCAGGCTTCGAGAAGAATGGAGGCAGAAGCTGGAATCCAAGCTGAGGCTGCGGAACCCAGACGAGGCCGAGAAGCGACAGAACCCCAGCTGAACCACAGCCTCTGCTCCCCTGCCCCCCGGGGTCCCCACGATCGGGTCCCCATGGATCCCGGAGGGGACTGCCCTGTCCACCCCGCCGAGCCCCGCGGGTGGACCCCATGCCCCGCAGCAGCTTCTTGCTCACGTAATCATCTTTGGGTTTTGACATCCGGGTATTTCTCGTCTTGCGCACAGCGGAAGGGCTTCGGCTCTCCGGGGTGGCTTCACACCCTGCGTGGTCGCCTCGCTCTGCCCTCTCACCTAGGAAACAGTTGCCCGACTCCTTTTGTCTTATTTGCTTTGGATGAAGAGAGAAATGCACCTGTCTGCAGAAGTAGAAATGGTGAAAGTAAACGTAAAATAAGGTTTGAAAGTGAACTGAGCCTTGTATGAATTTAATTGGCTTTTTCAAAACACGTTAACGTTGCTACTATCAGAGCGGTTGTAATAAAATCCGCTCCGGTGCCAGTGCCATGGGCGCCCTGTCCGTGCCCGCCCTTAATTCGAACCCCTCACGTTTGCGTTGCTTTCTGCCGGCCGCGCTGTCCCTGTCTTGTTCTGGACGTTGAAATCTCTGGAGAGGTTTTATTATTTTGTTTTATTTCGGTGCCGGGGCTGGGACCAGGCCCCCCCACCTCCTGGGCAAGCGCTCACCCCTGCTGGGCCCTGGTGGCAGCACGAAGTTGTCACCGTGTGACGTGGGGGAGGACGAGCCCGTGTCCCAGGAGGCGTCCCGGCTCCCTCTGCGACGGCCCCCCTCGCTCACTCCTCCTTACTCTGGGTGAACTGTAACCGAATGCACCCCAGCTTCAGGAGCAGCTACCCGGGGAGTTCGACAGACGCCTGGGCGCGCGGGAGCCACTGTGATTCACTGGAGATCAGAGTGCTGGGGTTTTTCCCAAGTTCTTTTCTCACCCAGCCCCAGCTTCTCCGGTCTCGGGACAAGTGATGCCTGCTTCCCCGGTGACTCAGCCTAAAACCCGGTCACCCCAACTCTTCCTGCCCCTCCCCGCTTCAAAGCGTCAGCTCCTCCTCCTCAGGGCTGCGAGGTTTAGAATTGATATAGGGGGAGGCGATGTAACTCCCAAACCTACTAGATACCAAAAGGCGAGTTCATGCTCTCTAAAATCGAAGAATGACTTCTAGGAACAACGGAGGTTAAGAGTAGGAAAAATTGATTGGGAGACAGAAAGCCTCTGCCTAAGAGAGACAGAAGGGGGTCCAGAAAGTGGGGTACCCGCTCACCCCACTGTTCAAAGATGTTTTATACAGCAAAGCCATGAGGTGAGGTGGGTACAAAGTGAGACAAAACTATAAGGCCCAATGGAAATTTACAAGGTGGGCATGAGGTGGGACAAAACCAAGCGCAACCAATTAGATTACAAGTACAGTCACCCAGGTGGTAATGATTAAATGGGGATCTGATGGGAAAACCAATCACATACAGGGAATTTCCCATTTAGAATATCAATCACTGCTATCTCTCTCTAGGGGAAGCAGTGTCTCTTCTTTTTATAATGCTAACCAGTGAATGGGCCTCAATTGTTCTCCATGTTGGTTCCTTGCAGTGTTGGCTCCTGGAGGCCAGTCCTGTCTAACTGCACACAAGATATCTAATTAACTTACCTATCTGCAATAGAATCTTTTTGCTTGTTTGTTTGTTTTTTGGCACCAGGGATTGAACTGGGGTCCTTGCGCTTGCGCAGCAGGCGGCGAAACCACTGACTACATCCCCAGCCCCCTGCAATAGAATCTTGAAGTGAGAATCATCCTGGAACCAGAGCCAGAGTGGCGCCAGCTCTCAGAGTGGGTCCTGTGTCACTGTCCACGGCCCTGCTGAGTTTGTGCCGGACTGAGGCCCAGCAAGGTCACCCACCACAGAGGCTGGGGAGCCCACTCCCAGGATGGACGGGAACAGGGCACCCACAGTGTCTCCCCAGGGCCCTTCTGCCTTTTGACCCTGCCTTGGCTGTTTTCATCTGTGCTCTAGAAGAGTGGTAGCCTAGCAGGACATGATGGTCCACACCTGCAACCTCAGCGCTCAGGAGGCTGAGGCAGGAAGATCACTGCAGGTTCAAGGCCAGCCTGGACTACACAGTGAGACCCTGCCTCAAAAGGCAAGCAAGCAGGGCCAGGGATTTAGCTCAGTAGCTCTGCTGCCTGCGTCTCAAGGGCAGGGTCCCAAGTTCAATCCCTGGTACCAAAAAAAAAAAAAAAAAAAAGCAAGCAAGCAAACAAACAAATACTCCAGTAGCTTAGCAAAAGGAAATTGCCAACTTTAATAGTGCTAGGGACCCTGAGTCATCCACCCCTCTGTAAATAACCCCTAATGAACTCATTTACTCTCAAGCTGATCTTGCTCCAGTCGTTCTTTGGCCTGCTGGCCCCTCCCCATTTGGAGGCAGTTGTATTTTTTATGTCCCTCCCGGAAATTCACACAACAAATCTACACCACTACATCCCAGTTCTAGGGTAACAGGCATTTTAAAGCACATAAAATGCGTCATCTTTGGTATAAACACGGCATCATTTATAAGAAAAGTTCCATGCTGCCCATTGTCCCCAAGGACCCTTTGCCAGGCGGCTGTGGCCCGGTTACCATGGGGCTGTGCTTACTCTGGTGGGTGCAGCCATCTGGAAGCTCGGTGGAAGTGCGCTTTTCAATCAAGAGAAACAGAATCCTATCCCAGGTCACAGCCTGGGTCCTCTAGGACGCCCCCTGCTGGGGCACTTCAGGTATCACAGGAACCCACCTCAGCCTGTCTGCTCTGCCACTGGGGAACAGATGCGGCAGGGCAGGAGCCCTGGCCCTGACCCCGGAGGAAGACTGTGGGTCCACAATGTCCCCTCCAGGACAGCGATGAGAGGTGGCAGGGAGGCAGGGGCTTTGGACTGGGAAAGCCATTTCCGCGGGGAGAGATTCTATTATAGACAGGCCAACAGGTAAAACAGTTTATGATTTCTTGGGGCCCAAATCTCTTCCAGGCTGAATCTGTATTGAAACTGAAGATTTTTATTGATAGGTATGTTTGGGTTAAAATGTTTTAGGGTTTTGTGGGGTTTTTTTGCAAAAAAATAAATAAATAAAAAATATAGATGTATGTATAGAATGAAATCACTCTTGTAGGATTGAGGCATAAATTTTCATGTCCACCTGTGTGCATGGACCTCATCTTTCTTAAATTTTTAATTAATTAGTTAATATGTGTATTTGTATTTATGTTTTGTTTTTTGAAACAAGGTCTCGCTGGCCTTGAACTCACTATGTAGCCCAGGCTGGTCATGAACTCTCAGCGATCCTCCTGCCTCAGCCTCCTGAGTGCTGGGATTATAAGTGTGCATCACTGTGTTCAGAAAAACATGTTTCCCTGGAACCTGGTAGATGAGTAACACAGGATTGGTTTGCTCAAGGTCTCAAACAGCCCTGGAGAATGAAAGAGGCCCAGAAGCCCAGCTCTCAGTCCACGCTACCTGGCTGGCCTGGTGACCTCCTGGGTTCTGAACATCCTGGCTGCTGCAGCCTTGGTGCCCAGGATGGGGGCAGACCCTGCTTCCTGGTGTCTCATCCATGGTGGTCAGCAGGGTAAAGCACTTCACAGACCTGGTGGCCAGCGTAGGAGAGCTTGGGCAGTGTCCAGAGTATAGGCCAGGAAGGACGGCTGTGGCCACATGGTCAGGATGAGCCAGGAGCACCAGGAAGGCCAGGACCCACATCCAGGGTTCAGAGTATGGGAAGAGAGCTGTGGCTGGAACCGCACACACATCCCTACACACAGTGCTGATGTGCTGTGGGACAAATGGAGGCTTGTGTGCTGCACAACTCATTGTTTTCCAGAAGCTTCTAAGTAACAGCCCCACCCAAGATGGCTGAGGAGCCCGAAGGGTCCACTGTAGGCATGTTCCCTGTCATACAGAGAGTGGCTTAGTTTTGTGAGTCAGTCCACGTAACAGACCGGGTTACTAAGCTTCAGAGGGCCGTTGGACAAGGCCACTTGCTGACCAGGAAGCTTTCACCATTTTATAGTTGCCCACACCTTTCCATCTGGCCTCTAGAAGGAAGGTGTTCAGGGTGGGGTGCTTCTAGCACCTCCTCCTAATGGGGCTGTTTAAGTTGGGCCCTGCCTGAGCCCAGGTCTGGGTTTGCTCTCTACTTCTTTGGTTGGAGTTCCTCCACCAATATAATTTATCCCCCATGGTGGGTGCTCCTTGATGAATTTCTGGACAGTTGTCTCCACTCAGAGCCTCCCTGGACCCAGAAGGCTGTCTTCAGGACAGCTCCTGAGGCTGTAGGGAACTTGAGGCAAGAAGAGGGAAGAATATCAAGATGGCGGACAACACGCTTGAGGAGCAGTGAACCACACAGGGAGAGAGTACTACTTTCTGGAAAGACCTGCACTGGGTTCAGAAGAATTCATTCCTGAGCTTGGCTATTTCTGTCAGGGGCTTGTCAGATAAAGAAGACAGAGGAGGAGGAGAGGCCACCACAGCCCACATGAGGTAGCCAGCAGGGCCCATGTAATATGAAGATCTGGGGGCTGGATCTGAGGATAGGCAGGGAGCAGCCAGCACAGGGCTCAGCTTTGATTTCCTGTGAGCAGTCAGCCTCCACGCAGCTGGGTTTCCCTGAGTTGTGAGGGGGTCTGTGGGGGCCTCTCTAGATCTGGGTTTCTGAGGCAGCATGAACTTGCTCAGGCTTCTGTTGTGGCCGCCATGTTATGGCCATGGCTGGCAGGTGTCCTCCTCAGCCAAGATGGGGTCCTCATGCTAACCCTGATCCTGGAGGAGCTGAGGTTTCTCCCACCCTGGAAGCAGCCCACATCTGGGCAGAGTCTGAGAATGACGCAGTGGAGGTTTGCGCTGTCACCTGACATTCTGCTTCGTGACAAGAGACACTGCATTCCACACCAACCCTTGCACCATACAGGGACATGTGACAGTGGTTGACTCGAAGGTCTTCCCAGGGGACCTTTCTGGGAAGAAGTTATTTAGGTATGAAGAAGACTGTCGGGGAAGAAAGTCATCCCATGGAGCGCTAAGGAGGGTGTATTAGTTCGGGTTCTCTGGAGGGACAGAGTCAATAGGCCCATGTGCCTAATTATGCAAGGGGACTTACCAGCTAGGCTCATAGGACTGGAAGCAGGAGAGTCCACTATGGCCATCACATGCTGAAGAGCTGAGGGTCCAGCCCAGGAAGCCGGAAGCTGCAGAACAGCGGGGTCGAGGATGCAGGACCAGTCCGAGGTCAGAGGCCTGGAAGCTCACTGTCCTGTCACAAGGCTGGCACCTGAGCTGCAGCTTCGTGGGTACCGGAAGACGATGTAAGACAACCAGGTGAGAGACAGAGGACCAGTCACTACTGCAGCGGCAGAGAGTGAAGGATTAGCATTTGCACCTGCCCTCGAGCCCTAGTCCCAGGGAGGAGCAGCCCTGCCAAGGGGGAGACCCTCTGCCTTCCACGTGCTGATCACACACGCATCCCAACAGCATCCACGCCTTCTGTCTGTACTGTCGGGGCTTCTGGTGAATTTCCCTGAGGCTGCTCTCATGTATTCGACTGACAGAGGCTGGGGCCAATTCACCTAGTTTTATTCATACAGCATTTAATTAAATCAAACATGAGCAGTTCTTCAAGCAACAGGATGCAGCCACTTCGCGGCAAGATGGAGACAGTGTCACCCAGGGCTCTTGACCCAAACAGCTGTAAAACTCCATCAACCATCCAAGTTTGCCCCTGAACATTTCCTACTGACTTCCTCTTGTCCAGGGCATTGATCCAGCGGCGGCAGGAAGTCCGGTGATTCTGGGGACTCCACCTTGGCCTACAAGGAGGAAGTCCAGAGAGGAAGTCCCACCGTCCACAGGAACACTGCCCAGGGAGCTTGGCGGCCCTGAATGTCCTCCAGAGTCGAGGTGGTGTCACCAATCAACTAAAAGCAGGGATGTCGAATTTTATGATCTAAAATGGCCCCCTAAGGCCCGAGTGTCCAGAAGGTGATTGGGCGATGGGGGTGCTAGAGCTGACTTGCTGTGGGGAGGTGGGGTCTGTCTGGAAGAGATAGGTCACTGGGGGCGTGGCCTGGAAGGCGTCATCTCCTTCCCTGGCTTGGCCTCCTCGCTCTGCTTCTTGGTCACCATGAGGTGAGCAGCTGTCCTCCGCCATACTTCCCTGCCTCGGAGCCAACTAACCATGGACTGAAAACGTAAGCCAAAATACACCTTTTCTCCTTTCAGTTGCAGATGTTGGGTTTTGTGTCTCAGCAACAAGAAAGTAACTAAGACAAGGGACAAATTTCATAGCAGCTTTTTCTAATTGGCTGTAGAGGGAAATGCCCTGAAGGTGTACAGATAAATTCCCAGGGACCAAGGAGGCTCATTCTGGAGAGTTCTCTGTGGTTGTGTGAGGGGTATATGAGCCACAGGAGCTATTTCCTCAGGCACCCAAAGGTCTCTTAGGACCAGTCTTGGGTTTTGGGGGGGGGTTTTTTTGGTACCAGGGATCGAACTTGGGTCCTTGCACTTTCGAGGCAGGCGGCAGAACCACTGAGCTAAATCCCCGGGCCTCTTAGGACCAGTCTTAAGGAACAAGATGATGACAGGATGGAGACTAGGTGTCTGCATTCTAAACAACCAGGAAAATTGTCCTCCCCTCTGAACTTTCCCACCACACATGATGGGTGCTGTGGACTTTGGTTCCACTTGGGGAAAGAAAGATGTCCATCCCACCCTTCCCTAATCTTTCTCCTTAAATGAGCTGTGTTTGAGTTAGGTGGAGGTGGAAGGATGGATTTTCTTTTTTTGTTTTTGTTTTTTGGCACCAGGGACCAAACTCAGGACCTTGCACTTTTAATAAGGCAGGCGAGGTGCCACTGAGTAAATCCCCAGCCCAGGATGGATTTTCTAAGCATAATGCAAAAGAGTGAAATCTGACTTTATGATGATTTTTGAGTATCTCAAATTGTGAATACCAGATAAATGAAATAAATTAAAATTTAGAAGTTAATAGTGCTGGGCATGATGCCTGCCTATTATCTCAGCTGCTCGAGAGGCTGAGGCAGGAGGACCCCAAATTCCAGGCCAGTCTGGGCAACTTAGCAAAGTGTAGCTAGTAGTAGAGTGCTTGATTACCACCTGAGAGGCCCTGGGTTCTAGTCCCTAGCCCTGCAAAACAAACGAGCAAAGCTCTTAAAATATTGTTGCTGTGTGCTTTATTCTAAGTCCACGGAAAGATGGGCTTGGCTCCAGACCTGTTTTAATCAATGGAACATGGGCAAGACTGGCGGCCGGTTCTGAGCTGTGGCCATAGGAAATGTGCCACCAGCTTCAAGCCAGCCTTGGCACAGAGAAGCCCACGTCCAGGTGGCTGCCTTGGGCCCCGAATGTGGCGCTGAGCACCGCCTGCAGCCTAAAGCAAGTCACTCTGCAAACCCAGAAACCCCCAGCCCGAGGCAGTGACCCAGCCAACCCTGGAGGGAAGAAACACCGACTGTGTGCACCACCAAGACGGAGGGCCTGCTCCACAGCAGACCGAGCCCCACACTGCGAGTCTCATCGTGAGCCTGAAACGCGCGGCAGCAGTTTGGGCAATCAATGGGGCCCAAAGACTCACAATAGGCGTCTTACTCCCTTTTGGGTTGCTACTAACAAAATAACAAGACCGGGTAATTTATAAAGAGTAGCGCTTTACTTCTGACAGCTCTGGAAGCTGGGAAGTCCCGGGGTGAGGGAACCTGGGGTAGCAGCATCCCCTGCTAGAAGGGGAAAGAGCAAGAAAGCACGGATGGGAAAGGCATGGGAGAGGGCAAATCGTGTTCATAACAAACCCATCTGGCAATGACAAAAACGCCATTAATCCACTCAGGAGGACAGAGCCCGTGTGACCTAACGGCCTCGTCCCAGCACATGAACACCGGAGGATGCACTCAAACCGTAGCCCTGGGAGGGATAAACACTGCGCAGGAAGCTGGGGACACGGTGACTGCGTTACTGTCACAGAGCAGGGAGGAGCCTGGATGAGGTTGCCTGCACCGACCTCCAGGCAGAGCGGGCCTTTGGGTCCGACCCTTGTCACACAGCTCAGCCCTGCTCACAGCAGCTGCTCAGGTACAAAAGGCACAGCCCGAATATTTAGAGCCAAGATGAACATAGAACCCAGCTGAGCAACAGATCAAAGACCTATTAGAGGAAAAGAATCCAACCTCGTGTCTGCCCTGATGACGGTTTCTACACGATATTAAATCCCCATCTTCCACGTGCACGACAGCCACTGCACGTGACCTGGGGCTGATGCTGGCAGAGACTGGATGCCGTGGGCGGCCCCTGGGAACCATCAGGGACACCTGGGGGTGGGGGGCTGGGAGCAGCTGAGCCAAGACCCAGAGCCAGCCTGGGCGGGCCTGGAACCAGAGCACTGCCAACCTCCAACACCAGGGCATCAACCATCGGCCTCCTCCTGCCCTCTCCTGCGTCCTGGACCACACAGCTCCCAAGCCCAGCTAGCTCATCTCATGGGCCGTTGGTCTGAGCGCTATTCTGGAAATCGCTGTGGAAAATGGAGCCCCTGGGGGAAAAGCAAGTTGATGCTCAAATTTAGGTTAATTTGTTGTTCTCACCTAGGGACAGGATCGCAGGCGGGTACCTCGAGGCAAGAAAGGCCTCCTAGATCCCCAGGGGGCTCAACACGAGGCAGGTGAGAGGCACCCACAGGCCAGAGGGGACGTGGTTTGGCCAATGGCTGTCACACGTAGGAGTGGACCTGGACAGCTTGCCTCCTGCCTCAGGGTCCTCCTGCCACCCATGAGGTTGCTTTGTGGGCGCCAGGCAGGCCGCTCCAACAGGAGGTGCAGCGTGGCCAGAAGACGCAGTGACCCTCCCCTACTCGGGCCACTGCTGCCACCTCTGAAGACAGGAGGGGACCATCCTGCCTTGGCTAAGATCAAGTTTCAGTTCCCCAATATTCAGGGAGGTGTGACAGGTGTCAGTCAATCAGCTCACCTCCACCATGACAGTGGGGCTGTCCTGGATGCCCCATTCATTTGAACCAACTACATGCCTGTACTTGGACCAATCAGAACACCCGAATTTGAACCAATCACAGACTTACACTTGAACCAATCACAGGCCTGCAGCTGCTATATAAGCAGCCTCCCCTCGCATTCTTGGTTAGTCTAGGAGGGCTCTGTCCAGTGTGCTGTACCCATGTGCCCCGCCACAGGACCTGTTAAAATAAAAACTCGTTCCAGTGGTCCTGTAATCTGCTCGTGATTTATTTCTCAGGTAGCCTGGGCTCAGCAGGTCCTGTAAACCTACTCAAGATCCCTGAGTAGTGTGGAGACAGTGGTCACTTTAAACACTAGGACATTAGCCTGAAGAGCTCTGTCATGATGTTCCTGCCTCAGAGCCAGCCTACCATGGACTGAATCGTCTGATATCATGAGCCCAACTCAACCTCCTCCTTTAGTCTGTGGGTGGCAGGTAGTGTGTCCAGCAATGGGAAACTGAAGATACCTGGAAAACCCCTTTTCCCTCCAAAATGCATCAACTTCTCCAACTGGAGCCAGTGGCCAATGGACTGACCAAGTGGGCTGGCGTGGACCATGGGATGACTTCATGATCTGCCCAAATCCTGGGCAGCAGATTGACGGGCTGTGCCCTCTATTCATGACACACATGGATCTCCATGGCAAAGGACCCTTTAGCAGTGGACACTGGTGGAAGCAGCAAGGTGACCAACTCTGCAGAGGCCAGGTAAGGACCAGAGTCACCTGCATACAGCCTCAGCCAGCATGGGGATCCACATCAATGCCTGGTGACGCCAGCACACAAGGCCCAGGAAGGCTGGCAAACATGCCTGACTGCTAGCTCCATGGTCAAGACTGCAAGGCTGTGGTCTGGTTCTGACAGGCAGTGTCTCCCGAGAGTAGCACTGGGCATCGGCTACAGTACAGACTTCTCCCCGCCTGCAGAGCAGGCTGCAACCCTGATGTACAGACATGTACTTGAACCCCTGATTCCAGCAGGCAGATGAGGGTCAGGGCTCCAGCCAAGGGTGGCTATCCAGGCATTTGTGAGACACTTAGTGTTCCCCATGGCCCACAGGCAGCAGATACCATTAAAAGATGAAATGGACTCTTTACAAACATGGAATAAGCGGTTTCTAACTGCAGTAATTCCCCAGAAAAGCACCCCTCAAATACAGGGTTTACTTAGGAGGAAGGGAGGGCCTGACTTCAGCAACAGCCACTGGAACCCATGTCGGGCAAGGTGGGTGGGGGACAGGGCTCCCCGATCCCAAAGCAGGCTGGAAAGGTGCTGGGGTCACCACAGCGTAGCAGGACAGGGGTAGAGGTTCTTCCTGTCATGGGACAGGAAGAAGCTGCTAACAGCTGGAGGACTGAAGCCTCCGTAGTGGCTTTCCACACACTGTAGTCCTGGGTGTGTGGAAATCCTCCCTCCCACCCAGGGACTTTCTTGGGGATCCCACAGCTTCCTGGCTGATATGGTTTGGATCTGAAATGTCCCCCAAAAGGTTCATGTGTCGACAGCTGTCCCCAGCTGATGACACGGTTGGGGGGTGGAAACTCGGGAGGTGGGGTCAGCTTGAAGGAAGGAGGTCACTGCGGGGTAATGGGGAAGGCGTGTCTTGGCCTCAGTTTCCGCTCTCTCCCTCTCCCTCTTCCTGCCTCTTTCCTGGCTTCGATGAAGCGACAGCTCTCCTCTGCCACACTGTCTGTTGTGATGTTTCTGCCTGGCCACTGCCCTAAGGCAATGTACCTGGCTGACCATGGACTGAAACCTCTGAAACCCTGAGCCAAAATAAACCTCTCTTTCTTTAGGTCACTCTTCTCAGGGGTTTGGCCACAGTGATGACAAGCTGACTCCACTGGCAGAACCAGAGCCCTGGCCCTGTGTTCAGACCGATGCACTGGGTGGAACGAGACCAGAAGCCTCTCCCGCTTCTTCTGGAGGAGCCATGAAGGGGCAGCCGGGGCTCTGTGGTCCCTGGGGGGCCTTCCCTGGGCTGCCAGGGGAGCCCAGCCTTGGCTCACTGTGAGCAGCTTTCTTGCAGGGACAAAGCTGTCCCAAGACCCAGCTCCTGTATCTGGTGGGCCCCACTAGAACCACCATTTAAATAAAGTCCAGGGTCCCACACCCTGAGCCCAAGGCTGGCCTCGTGGGAGCCTGCTGTGCTCCCCACAGCCCATAGAGGTGGCCAGCTTGTCATTCTCTGGCTGCGTGGGACTTGCTGGTGGTGAGGTAAGGTCCTGGCACACAAGGTGAGCAGACGAAGCTCCTGGACTCCAAGTCCAGGCCCACGGGCCTGGGGCAGAGTCAGGGAGGAGGCAGGTCCTCAGGGTCACTGCCGGGGCCAGAGCCTGCTGCAGCCTGGAGCCTCCTGACTGGAAATGCGGCAGCAGGGACATGTGTGACGAGACTGAGTGACGGGATGATTTCAGTGACGGCACCACCCACAGACTGAAGGCAGACGCAGAAAGGACTCCAGAACTCAGCAAGTGGCTACAGGCCCTTGGGGACCATCGCCCCCGTTTACAGAGGGTGGCTCCAAGGCCCACAAAGCTCGGGCTAAGAGAAGTGAGGGCTCCTCACCCCATTTCGGGGGTCCCCAGAGACCGGCTGCCCTCACCCAGCCAGGGCAGTGGGGGTCTCCTGAGAGAAAGGACACCAACCTCCCCAGCCCGGCCCACGCCTGGCACTGAGACAGGTGCAGAGCTACCGGAGGTCCCTGAGGTCCCAGTGGCCAGGCAGACGGTGCAGCCTCACGTCCTCCTTCTGGATGTGCTGGTAACAGGACTGGGGAGAGAGAGGCGGCTCGGGCCACACGCACGGCGCCACTCATCGGCCCCATTCTGTGAGGGATGTGGGGCTCCCCTCTCCCGCTGTGCCCGGGAGGGCATCCCCAGCTCCTGCCTGGGCTCACCTCCAGGGCGGTGAGCAGGAAGTCGTACCGGCCGCCTGTGTGCACCGGGTCCATCATGTCCCGGATCAGGTGGATCTCAGCCCCCAGATGCTGGATTCTGGAGAACACCCCGCCCCCCAAGACGGTGAGAGAGCAGCGGGCCGTTGGGGACCAGCGCCATGCAGGGGAGGAGGCTGGACCCTGGTGTGGCCCTTGTTCCGCCTCCGGCACCCACAGGACCCTGGGGGGCTCCTCTCCGGGCCTCTGCCTCCCCTTCATGACCCCCGAGTCCACAGACTTTAGGGCCCGTGGGTGGCCCAAGGGGTCCTCACCGTGCCCGAGACACCACGTAGACGAGCAGCGGCAGCAGGTCGTCCATAGGCAGCTTGTGTTCCCGGCCCAGCACTCGAGACACGGTGGCCTCGATCTCCAAGTAAGTCTTCTCCAGCACCTCCAGCTTCTCCCGGGGGTCCACAGTGGTGCTGCAGCAGGTTGCCAGATCCAGGTCATGGCCCTGGGGTCCCCCACCCCGGACCCCACGCCCCCGTGCCCCACCCCACCCGACCCTGGAGGACTCACATGATTTTCTGCAGACACTCGGTGGCCGACAGGAAGCATTTGTCCCTGACCAGGGAGCTCCGCTGGGGAGAGGCCAGGTGAGACCAGGGTCCTAGCACCAAGCCCCTGCCATCCACCTCTCCACCATCACAGGCACACTCAGCCCACACAGAGGACAGAGTGGCCCTGGCTACACTGCAGGCCTCGATCCAGGCCGCCACTATGGGCAGCTGGGCTCCGGGCTGGGGGACCCAGTAATCACAGTGACAGCTGGGTGACCGGGACCCTGACGCTCACCTGATTGCTCGTCAGCCGCAGGTCCTTGAGGGGCCACAGGTGCCTGGAATGGGAAACAGGAGCTCATGGGATAGGACAGTGTCCAGATCCCACAGGAAGGAAGAGCACAAGCAGGGGAGGAAATGGCCCCACCACCATTCCCGGTGCACACACGGAGCCAGAGGCAGGGGAAGCCAGGAGGCCCCTAAGGAAGTGGTCCCCCAGCACCTCGTGACAAAGGAGGCCCATGTGTGGTGGCAGAGTGGCTGTGCACCCCATGGGGGAAGGAATAATTCACTTGGCGTCATCAACATATCAGAGTTGCTAAGAAGAAAGGGCATTTTCAATGGCAGGTGCCATGGTAGCTCACACCTGCTACCCCAGTACTTGGGAGGCTGAGGCAGGAAGATCACTGAGAGTTCAAGGCCAGCCTGAACTGCAGAGCTAGACCCTGTCTTAGAAAAAAAAAGAGGGGCATCCTCAGTTTCTCCTCAGGGCCCTCCTGTCCCCACTCTCTGTCCAAATGCCCAGTGCCTGGCCGGACATGGAGGCAGGCCTAGTCAGTGATGAAGCATTTCAGGTGGGCTCAAGGGCCCAGGCTAGTCCAGCAAGGAATGGAGGGGCCCCACCAGAGCTGTTGGAAGGAAATGCCAGCTTCCCTTGCGGACATGCGACCCTGAGCAGGAGGGTCTGCCCTTGGAGTGGCTGCCAAGACGTTTGTCACCACAAGGGGGAGCCAGAGAAAAAACCAAAGAGAGAAGGTGCTCGGCTCTGTGGAGTGGTTGAGCACCTAGATCCAGCCACGCCGCACACAGACCCCAGAAGCCATCCCGTTCCACTGAAGACTGAGCGGGGCCAGTGCAGGTGGCAGGCGAGGCTCACTTGTGCACATCCAGGAGCTCCAGCAGCTTGGTGTCGGGGAACACGCTCAGGCTGCTGATACCCTGGCTGTAGAGCCCGTCCTCCCTCTCATGCAGCAGCAGGTAGAGGGTAAAAAGCTCCGAGTAGAAGCTGGGCAGCACAAGGGGGAGCATCAGCCCGTGCACCCGCTGGTCCCTGGGAGAGACGGGGACAGCTGGGGGTGGCAGATGCACCATGTGCGCATCCCCTCCCGGCTCGCTCACAAGACGAGGTCACAGGTGGCTGTGATCCACGGGTGACCAATACACAGTGTGTGGCCGCCAGCACGGTCGCCCGGCCCTGCCCCGGCAGCCCCTTCCCCCAGGGGGCCCAGTCACCTCGTCTCTGCGTCCTCATCCTCCAGGGCCTGACCCTTGTGCTGTAGGGCCACCTGCAGCAGACCCCTGTGACCAGTGAGAGGGACACCGTCGGCCCCACCCGCGGGCCAGAGCAGCCTCTCCCGGAGCCAGGGACACGGAGCCGCAGAGCGCAGCGCCTCAGCCACCCTGGGAACAGGGCTGGGGCCGGGGGTGGGCCTGAGCGTCCACAGCCGGGCAGCGGGGGACTGCGGCACGCAGGGCTTCCATCTGCAGTGACCGGCGGGCACAGCCTGGCCTGCAGCGGCTCCAAGCCCCAGAGCCTGGGCGGGCCTCGGACGCCAGCCCAGAGCAGCCATCAGCCCTGGCTGTCACCTCTGTCCCCTTCGCCCGCAGCCGCACCCTGGCCACCTCCGGCTCCTTGCTGAGCGGGGCTGGAGTCAGAGGAGCCACACCCCTGGCTGCAGGGACAAGGGCAGGCCGTCCCGGGAGGGCTCACCGGTAGGCGGCCCAGAGCTCCCGGGCGTGCTGCTTCACCTCCTCCTGCGCCAGCCCCTGCAGGTGCTTGTTGGCCCCAATGCCCGCGTAGGTGGCCTGGAAGGTCAGCATCAGGGTGCGCAGCAGCTTCCCCAGGGGGTGCCACGCGGCGCTCAGAGCCTGGGCGGAGGGCGCAGGTGAGGGGGACACTCAGCATCCGCTTCCCAGCGGGGCGGCTTCGGGGCGGGGCTGGACCTCACCTCGCCGAGGTGTCGCCGCAGGGCCGCCGGCTGCCGGGGCCGCAGCAGGTCCTCCAGGAAGGCCTCCGTCCCGCCCGCTGCGTCCTCGGGGGAGCCCCTGGGCAGCACGGACACAGTGTCGTCTCCCTGCAGGCCTGGCCCACGCCCGCCCGGGACCGCAGGCCTGTGCCCGCCTCACCTCTCCTGGGAGCGGCGCAGCTCCCGCGAGCTCTGCACCTGGAAGCCCAGCAGGGCCTCCTGCAGCTCCCCGGGGCAGCCGGCGTGTGCAAAGTCCCAGAAGGGGGTGTAGACGCCCCGCCAGCGGCTCTCCACGGGCAGAGCGCCCACGCCCAGCTGCCTGTGCGGGACGAGAGGTGGCAAAGGTGAGCTGCAGGCCCAAGAAACAGGGTGGACGGCGGGGGGGGGGGACCTCGAAGAGAGGGGGCAAGAGGACGAACCCAGGGACGGAGAGCCCCGGAAGGCCCGGCAGCGGTCTTGGCCCAAGACAGTCCAGCGCCCAAAGCCCGGGGTGCCTCTGCCCTCTGCTGGTCGCACCGGGGATGACACTTGGCCTGCCCTTGGCAAGGCTGCGACAACATCTCCAAGGGGCCACTGTCTGAGGGAGCTAGCTGCACGCAGGGCCACGGTCAGCCAGACCGCCGCGCCCTCTTCCTGCCAATGTCACCTTCCGAATCCCTCTGACAGAGCCCTCTGACGCTGCTCGGGAACCAGTTTCCCATGGAAGAAGTCTGTCCTCGGGGGAAGAAACGTCTGTCCCCCGCTGGAATACCGCTCCATGGAGACAGCAAGTGCAGTCAGCAAGTTCCCCCTCCACCTCGGCTGCCAGGGACCCGGGGTGGGCTGACACTCACCCATCCCCCTCACAGGCCCTGTCTGCCTTCCTTCTAAGACCAGTTCGTGATTTCCTTTTCTTTGTTCTTTTCTTGCCTGTGTCTGGTTTGTCAACAGTCCCTGACAGAGACCGTGCTGAGCGAGCTGCAGATTCACAAACTGGCTTTTCATATTAAAAGTCTGAGTCTGCCTATTGGCCCACAGTGGTTGCCTGAAGAGCAGTAGTTGCGTGGGAACGGAACAACTCCCCACACCACTGGTCACAGCGATCCTCGATGCTGTGACAGCTCAGATGGCAAGCCAAGAACACAGCTCAGGGCAGAATGACTGGTACGCAAAACTTCTATAGAAGCAAACATCAATCTATGGGGAAAAAAATTTTCCCATTATTCTATGAGCTGTTTCTGCTGCAGTCTCCTTCCCTTGTTGCTAGGACCCTGCTTGCGTCAGTGCTGTCCACTCCGCTGTCCCCTGCACCGCCCCTGGCCCCTCCAAGAAGCTGTGTGTTCAGTAAAGAGTGGCAAGCTCCAGGAGTCAGCGTCTCAGCCTGGTAAGAGCTCTGACCGTCCCGGGCCCCCTTCATCCATTAAGATCTTGTCTTTTGTTATCCTCCGCTGCACCCATGGTCAGGTCTTTGGAAGACTGTGCAGCTTCCAATAGTTCTCGTACCCCTTCTAGAACAAGCCGTGGTGTTGAAGCACAGCCCGGCCTCATGGCTCCCTGCACGTCTGTGGTGTGGGAGGTTATCCCTGCCCCCCGCCTCTTACGTGTGGACTCCTGGGCTCTCAGCAGCACCCAGCCGCTCCACTGGGACCCTGGCCAGGTGGCCGCTCACCTCTTGTGGGTGCTGCTGGGATCCGGGGGGAGGGCAGCCGTGTCCAGCACGCTCTGTGTGTACAGCCCTCTACCTGCCCCGCTGCTGAATGAGCCCTCCAGGGTGAAGCCGTTGGGGAAGGTGATCTTGCCCTGGGAGAGGGAACAGAGACAGGGATGTTTGTATTTCTGGCCGTCCATCACCTCCTGGGACAGCCTCACACCTGGCCATCCAGGCCAAGGACAGATGGGGCTTCCCACCGAGGAGAGAGACAGAGGGAGCCCGGGAGGAGCAACCAGGGGCGGGGGGACAAGGCCTGGCTGCCTGTGCCTCTCATGCATGCACCCTGGTCCCCGCCCCTTTGTGCCCGCAGTGCCTCCTGTCCCTGTCAAACACTGCCAGAGCCCTAGCAGCAGCACCAGGGCCTCCTGGCAGCCAGCTGAGGCAGGAGCATACAGAGGACAGCAAACCAGGCATGGATAACCAGGCATTGGGAGGGGACACAGCCAGAAGACCCCAGCGCCCTCTGGTCACAAGACACATCCTTCCATCCCCTCCCGGTCAAGCGAGGACTCTGCTGCCCTCTGCCCAGGCTCTCAGCTCTGGGCCCCGGGAGGGAGCCAGCTGACACCCACCCAGGCCTGGAGGCCCTCACCTTCCCCTCGAAGGTCAGGTCCCTGGTAAAGGTGCCCTCGTACATTGAGTCGTCTTCTGAGAGGAGGATGCCGGGGCCCTGGGGGAGCGCAGGGCAGAAAGGGGAGTAAGGGGTGGGAAGGGATAGCCAGGGGACCCCAAGAGGGACCCTCAACCTCAGGATGCTGAGCCCCACGCATCTCCTCTCTGGCTCCCCTGCTTCTTTGTTCCTGTCCCAGGGCCACACTGATCCCTCTCAGCTTCCTGTTTGTCATTTGTATTCTAGGGACACTGACTTCCACCACTGGGTCTCCCTGAGGACCACAGGATGGGGGAGCCAGGGATCCAGGATGGTGGGTTCCCATACCATGGGATCAGCACTGCCCACACCCTTCCGGCTGTCGAGGGGCATGTGCAGAATACTGCTAACCTGAGTTGCTATGGGGAAACTGAGGCTGGCCGGGGCTGCGATTCGGCAAGGCCAGGGTAGGAGGGTGGCAGAGCCAGGGCCCTCGCTCCTCTCCCCGTCACCCAGGGAGCCAGGGCATGGGGGCACACCCAGCCCCCCACTCACCACCATCTTATCTGCCTGGAAGGTGCCCTGGTAGCAAACCCCTGCCTGGGTGACGACCACCCCCAGGCCGTGTCGCTGGTTGGCCTGCCACTCGCCGATGTAGCGCTCGCCCCTGGGGGAGGGACCAGAATCGTCGCCAGGGAGCAGGAGTCTGGCTGGGCAAGGGCAGCAGGGGGGCTTCCCTGTGGGGACAGCAGGAAGAGGGTGCAAGAGCCATGGAGGTCGGAGCATGTGACAGACGTGGGAACGTCCAGGGGCCCACAGAGGCCGGGGGGCAGGGGCCGTGGCAGGGTGAGGTCAGAGGAAGAGGCGTGGCCTCGAATGCCTGGCCAGCACCTGGGGCACTGAGGGGCAGTGGGGACCGGGTGAGACTGCGGGCAGCCTGAGCGGTGCCGTCACCTGCTGCTGTCCTCCTGGACGCCGTAGCCGCTCCTCTGATCCTGCTCCCAGTGGCCCGTGTACCGGAAGGGCTGGGGAGCCTGTGGGGCGCTGTCCAGGACCCCAAACCCGTGCCGAAGGCCGGCCCGGAAGTAGCCCTTGTACACCTCCTCTGAGCCGTACCTGGAGGGGGCACGGATGGCTGGCCCTGCCTCCCGAGACGGCCCCGGGGCGCCCCAACCCGAGACCCCACTGTGGGCCACTTACTCACAGATGCCGTAGCCGCACATGCTGCCCTCCTGCCAGTGGCACTTGTAACAGTCAAACTGGTCTTCGGTGGCTTTCGGCACCAGGTAGATGCCGAAGCTGAAGCGTGAGGGCTTGGCGGTCAGTGCCACCCTGCAGCCCGGACGCTGTCCCTCCACTGTGTCCCCGGCACCAGGCTGCCCGGCCGGGCCTCTCCCTCCCCAGCAGGAGCTCAGAGCCAGAGCCATCTGGCTCCCTCTGTTCGTGCAGGGGACCTGGCTCCCAGTCTCTACAGTCCTGCCCCAGGTCTGGGATTTAGGGGGACTCTCGTGGCCCACCCACACACACACCCGGCTTCTGCCCACCAGCCTCACCCGTGCTCCAGGCCCCATCGGAAATTCCCCACGTGATGCCGCCCATCCGGCCACTTCAGGGTCCCCCTGGAACACAGTGGATGACGCCCCCAGCCATCAGGCCACCAGACCCAGCCCACCACAGCCACGGGTTTCCGCAGAGTCCTGCCACCCCCTGAGACCTCACCACACCCCATGGGGAGCCCCGAAGACACCAGGCTCCCTTTTTGCTCTGACCACCAGGAAGCTCAGAGCTGAACTTCAGCCCAAGCTACATGCTGGTTCCCGAGCCTCCTCCATCCCCCTCCTCCCCTGATGAGCCATTTTGCTTTGGCCCTTTCACACACATCCACCCCGGGCCCCCTCTGGAGGCAGGCAGGGTCTTGAAAACCACGGACACCCTTGACAGTGTAGCCCTGTGCACCCCTTCGGCTCCGACTCACGGTCCCCAGCTGTAGCTGGGCCACCTGTCCTTTAAAGGTCATCCAGCCGTGGGGCCACAAAGACCTTGGACTGAGGCCAGGCTCACCCTACAGCCTGCCCGGGGACCTAGGGCAAATCCAGCCAGTCTCTGGGCCTCAGTTTCCCCACCTTTACAAGAGGTGAGAACCCTGCCCCGGGGGGCCCCTCCACACCACCACGATGCTGCGGGGGGGGGGGGGACGCCTGTGATCTCAGCGCCCGTGAGGCTGAGGCAGGAGGATGGCTGTGAGTTCGAGGCCAGCCTGGGCTGCATACGGAGACTGCGCCACCCCTGGGCAGCGCCACTCACTTGCCGTGAGGCCGAGCCAAGCACCACTCCCCCTCATAGGTGGCCTGGCAGAGGCGGCCCTCGGCGCTGAAGGTGTAGGCCACGGAGCGGCAGGCGGGGGGCTCGGAGGGCGCGGGGCCGGCCCCCAGCACCGGGAAATCCTTCTTCCCTCGAAGGGCCTGGCTCACAGCCCGGCTCACCTTCCACTGCCACACCGCCTAGCGGATGGACGCACAGGTCGCTGCTCCGCCGAGACCCCGCGCCTCCCCGCCCCCGCCCGACGCGACGCGCAGGCTCACCCGGCCCAGGGGGTCCCTGGCGCTCAAGGAGAACTCCTCCTCCGGCGTGAGGACGCAGAACGTGCACCTAGACGTGGAGGCGACAGTGGTCCCTGCGCCCGCGGGCAGGGGGCGCCCGGGGAGCCCCGGCGCGAGGGCGGGGAGGTGGGCGGGCGGGGAGACTCACTCGTGCCGCCTGGGGCGCACCCACAGCAGCCTCAGGTCGAAGGTGTGGACGGCGGGGCCCTGGAAGAGGCTGGGCGTGAGTGCCCACCACAGCCCGGGGCCCAGCCTGGCCGTCCCTGCCGCCTGCTGCCCACCCCCGACGGCTCCACTTCCACCCCCAGCCCCGGGCTCCTCCCCAAACCTCCTCTCCGAACATGGCTAGTACTCTTCCTCCCACCGCCACCGGGAAAGACCACCCTGCCTGAGCCGGGGAGTGGGGGCGTCCTTTCCTTTGGGGACAGCCTGTGCTGTGACCCTGGGCTCAGCCCAGCGAGGTCGCTTACTGCACGGTGGCCAGCAGGGGAGGGGACACAAGGCCCAGGCCTGAGGGCTGAGGAGCTCCCGGGTCGCCGGCCATGGCCTGTGCAAAGGTCCAGGGGTGGATGGCCCGATACTGATGGGGGCAGCACCCCGGGGCATGGGTGTGGAATTCGGAGCGGGTGGGCCCCCAACCTGCAGCAGGACCAGGGCGTCATCGAAGAGCAGCACGCGCTCGGCCCGCAGCGGGGTGGCCGTCATGGGGACGTCCTGGCTGTCCTGTAGGAGGCGGCGAGTCGGGGTGCAGAGCGCGTCCTGGGGGATACAGGTTTGAGCAGACCTGCCCAGCTGCCTTCCAGGGGGACCCCAGGTCTGCGACAGCCACTGCCGGCAACGCCCGCCCCCTTTGTCCTCTCAGGGCCTGGGCCGGGCTCCGTCTGCCCTCACCTGGGCTCTGCAGTCCCTCCCTCGCCCCCGCCTGTCTCTTCCTCCCAGGGCACAGGGGCGCTCCGTGTCCCCAGGGCAGGGTCTACTGAGCCGGGCAGCGACAGGGGTGCTTGGTGACACCCTGGAGAGAATCCACTCTGCAGTTTTTTGCCGTACTGAGGCTTGAACTCAGGGCTTTTGCAACAAGCTACTTCCCCAGTCCTTTTTTTATGTTTAATTTTGAGACAGGGTCTCGATAAGTTGCCCAGGCTGGGTTTAAACTTGAGATCCTCCTGCCTCAGCCTCCCACAGGGCTGGGAATACAGGCATGGGCCACCATCTGGCTGACTGCTTTCCCCAGAGCCAGGTCAGGGCCGGCCCATGAGGTGCTCAGTGGATGGATGCGGATGACTAACAGCTATCTGGCTATCCCTTCCAAATGGGGAAACTGAGGCAGAGAGCATACAGCAAGCAGCTCAAGCCACCCGGCAGCCCCATCCTGGCACCCACTGTGGGCCCCCTGGCCTGTCCACCCCTCTGGCTCACCTTCAGGCGGCTGCTCAGGCTGTGCCACAGGGCCTGGGTGGCCGTGGCCTGGTCCAGCGCCTGCTGCAGGAAGGACTGCAGGTTCCCGTAGAGGGTGATGGCCTGCGTCACCAGCTCCTGGGCGGGGTGACTCTGTGTGGGGGGCAGACGGTGGGGGGTGGGGGGCTTGGGCACCCAGGGTGAGATTCCACATCCGCCCTCTGCGTCTTTCCGGCCCCCTGGGCCAGCCTGGGTCCCCAAGCCTGGGCCCCGCCTCTCCCCACCTCACTCCCTCACCCTCATTCCCTTCCACAGGTGCCCGGTGCCCACCTTCCCGAGGCCGTCCCGGAGCTGCAGCAGGAGGAGCACGCACTGCTGCAGGTGCTGCACCAGTGGCTGGCGCAGGGCCTGGGCCAGCACAGCGTCCACTGGGCCCTCGAAGCTCATACCCGGCAGGTGCTTCTGCAGCAGCCCGAACTGCACACGCCAGTACCTGCTGTGGAGAGGGAGGCGAAGCACCCTGGTCCCCTCTGTCCTGCCCTGACCTGCCTGCTGCTGCCCCTCCACAGAGCCTGGGCTGTCTGCTGGGTTAGCAGCCGTGGCTCAGAGCAGGACGGGAGAGTGATTACAGGGTCACCGACAGGAACGGCCTTGCAGAGGGGCTCCGGGCGTCCTCACCCTGTCTCGCCTCCCCCTTCCCCATGGGGATCAGCTCACACTCCTCACAGCCAAGGATGCTTCGCAGTGTGATCCCGCTGCTCCGGGGGTGGGGCTCCCCCAACCCCGTCTCCCTTGCACCCCCCCCACCCAGTCGGGGGTCCCCTGCAGTACCCCTGCTCACCTCTTCCTCTTTGCCACCTGCTGGAAGACCTGCACCACCATGCAGCTTGTGTAGGACTCGATATACCTACGTGGGGCATAGGGGGACATGCAAGCCCAGTCCCCGGCTCCAGACCTAAGCCTCTGCCCTCTGGGCACCCCAGATCCCACCTACTGAGCAAGGGGGACCTGGCTGCGGGCACTGCCAGGTTGTGACCCCCAAGACAGTGGTAACTGGAGGTCTCATCCCGGGGGCCCCACCCCGGGCCTGCCCTGGCTGCCTTACTCCATGTAGACCTGCAGGATGCGGTCAGCACTGCCCAGCATCAGCAGGGACTCCAGGCCGGCGGTGCATGGCTGGTGGAGCCTCTTCTGCAGGGACTGAAGGCTCTGCTCTGTCACCTCCTGCAGCTGCTCGGAGCTCCTGTGCAGCTGCTGCAGGAGGCACAGGCACTCTCGGGCCCAGGGCTCCGAATGCTCTGGGCCTGCACAGGGTACAGCCGCATGGTGAGCAGGACACAGCCTGGCACCACAGCAGGGTCCCGTGTCCCTGGGGACCGGGGACAGGGCTGGACAGGGCTGCAGGAGGACTCGGATGCACAGCCACATCTGGCTAACAGGGGCAACCTGACAACCTTGGGGAAGCCCCTGTGACCCTGGCGTCCCTGCCCATCCAGAGCAGAGTGTGCAGGGTCGCTAGAGTCCTGGGTCATCTCCCAGGCTCCTGAAGAGGACAGCACCTGCCCAAGGTCACTCCACAAGGGAGGCCAGAGACGGAAGCAAAACGCAGGCATGCCACCTGCTGGTCACCCCTGGGCCCCGAGTGGCAGAGGACAGAGGTGCACAGAGGGCCACTTCTGGGCCTGTGCCTGCAGAGGAGGAACCCCGGCCCATGCCAGGCACGCTGGGCATCAGCACAGCCTCACAGCCTGGCCCCTCGGGTCACTGTGGGAAGGGAACAGCCGGCCCCCTTCGTTCAGGACACCAAATGCCACTTCACACTGAGAAAGCTGCAGCTCAGAGGGTCCGGCAAGGGGCCTCCCGCCCTGGGGACCGTTCCTTGGTCCCCTCCCCACCTCCTGGGAGCCTGGACCCACCGGCCAAGAGCAAGGGCTGCAGGATGCTCGAGCCAACATGGGCCAGCATGGCCAGGAAGGCTTCCTCCAGCCGCAGCAGGGTCATCTCCTCCAGGCTGCACATGGCACCTCCTGGGTGGGCACAGGTCAGAGCCAGTGCCCAGAAGCACAGCCCACAGCCACCCACACCGGGACTCAGCTGGGAACCTGGCTCATGCCCCTGAGGAGTCCCTGGGTTGGCCAGGCCAGCGGAGGCAGCAAGAGTGGGTGAGAGGGTTCAGAACTGCCAAGGGGAGCGTCCCTTTGTCCCTGCAGGTACCTGCTCTTCAAGCTCAGCTCCAGCCTGCTCATTCCCTTGCTCAACACTGGCTATGGCTCCCAAGTGTCCCGGGGACAGCCTGTGTCGCTGTGTCCCAGCTGCCTTGCTATCATTCAGGGACCCTGGGGTCTCTGGAAACAGGGACATGCTGTCAGAGGTGCCAGTCCTGTCCTCAAGACCCCCAGAATCCATCACCCACCAGGATTGAGTAAACCAGAGCAGGCCTGATGGGACCAGGGGAGTCGGAGGCTTCTGGCTGGAGCCATGGAGGTCGGGCAAGAAATGAGGAAAGGGCGGTGTGCAGGTGGGAGAGCGCAGGAGCTCAGGGCCTGTAGGCCTGGCTTCTTCACTTGGCCCACAGAGGCCTGACTTCGCCTCCGTCCACTACGAAGAGCCATGAGGGCCTCAGCAAGGTCGCAGCAGACCCAGAGCCAGACTTGGGGACAGCCATGGAGGAGATGGTGCAGGCTCAGGAAGTGGGATGCTGTAGGAGGCCGAGGGGCTTCCAAGCATGCAGGGATCACTGGGAATGCAGTGTCGGGCCAGAGGGGGCGAGGTGAGGGTCCCAAATGACCCAGGAAGAAACGTCTGAGTGGAGAGTGCCAGGGTCTCTGAGCCCAAGCTGCCAGGGCTGCATCTCCCCCGATCCTGACTGAGGCTTTGGAGTTAGCTGGTCTGGGTGGGGACATCATTGGGGCAGCCGATAATGGCTAGGCGGGTGACAAATGGGAGGGGTCTCACCCCAAGGACGCCATGGGCATCACGAGCTTCCCTCGCCAGAGCGAAGGGCTCCCAGGGCAGCAGAAGCCTGGCCCAGGGCCCAGCATTCATTCCCGCCCCACCTTTCCTGCCCCTGCTGCTGCTGCTCCCGTAGCAGAGCCAGGCAGGAAGGGGAAGCAGCTGGACATCCAGCACCGCTGACCCCAGCCCCCAGGTCCAAGGCAAGAGTGGTCCCTCCCCACCCATGTTTCCAGCCTGTCCTTACCGCCTCAAACTACCCCATGTCACCCATACCTTCCTGAGACGGGGCCCTGGTGTCCCTCCACCCCCCAGTCTATGCCTGGCCCTCCTCCTCTCTGAGCCTGTCACCACCTGGTGAAATGGGGGTGCAACTGGATCACAGCTTTCCCCTCAAAAGAACTAACTGTGGGGGGAACTACTGGGGTGGGGACCTGGCTCTTGAGCCCCTGTGAACCATTCAGAGTGAGTCCCACAGACCTGGGTTGGCAGCCACTAACTCTGGGGTCCTTCCAGGTCGCCAGTGCCCATGCAATACTCACCCAGGAAAGCAAGTCACAGGGCCCTGACACTGAGGAAGTTGGGTGTGGCCGACCAGGGGCAGGGAGGGGCGGCTGCAGCTGAGGCTGGGAGTCTGGCCGGGGGCCCTCCCACAGGCTAGGGAGTTTTGGGGTTCATCCTGGAAGAGATGAGTAGGGTGTATGGGCAGGGGCAAGGCCAGGCGCGAAGATGCATGTGCGAGCCTGTGCCTGCACGCGTGTGCCTGCGTGTGCCTGCGTGTGTGTCTCAAGGACAGGATGAGGTGCTGGAATTCATAAGGAGGACTTAGCAGGAGTTCGCCCCCATCCAGCCCACCCTGGTCAAGGCTGCAGCCTCCTTGCCCTGCCCTTCCTCCAGTTCAAAGTCCCCTTAAGTGGCAGACCGTGCATGATGCACAGATGGGGAAACTGAGGCTCAAGAAGGATAAGAGTCCTGGAGGCACTCAGAGAGGCTGGGTGACTCACCTCAACGCACAGCGAGTTCCAGGCAGGACCCTGCCTCCCCGAGCTCCCCAGGCTGGTTTGGTGTCTGGTGTTGGGGCAGGTGGGTGCGGCCAGTCCTGGCCTGCACAGGTGAGTCACCTCCTGCCTGTGGCCCTCGGCACTGCCAGACCTGCTGTCTCTTCTTCAAGCCCAGCCTCTGGCCACAGTAGGCGCCGCTAAGGTCACCGGGCCTCCTGCTCCCCCTGCCCGGCCCCTCCGCCCCGGCCGCACCCTGCCCTGGCCTTCGCTCTGGTATTTCCTGGTCTGGACAGCTCCTCCTGTGCTCCCGCCGGCCCCTGTCAACGGCACGGGAGGAGCCGCTGAAGCTGCCGCCAGCCCTCCGCCTCCACCCTCCGCCTCTGTCCCCCTCCTGCCCCGCCTCCTCCCGTCTACTCTGTCCCGCTGTCAAGTGGGTGCCCGCGCCGGCCCCAGGACACCACTACCACCCTGCTTCTCCGTCCAGCCCTTCTGCCCGCGCCGGCCGGCGTCCCTCCTCCTTCTGGTCACAGCCAGGGACTGTCATCCCCAAGCTGCCTGAAACCCACGTGGGCGACCACGGGTGGGGAGGACGGCGCTGGTCCCCGCAGGTCCGAGAGGCGCTGGGACAAACCCCGACGGCCAGGCGAGCTCAGGATGGAGCTCAGCGCAGCGCAGGGACAGGGCAGCGGAGTGGGGGAGTGGGGGCTCGGCGGACCCGCCCCTTACCTGCAGGGCGGCCCGGGCTCCACGCCGCGCACGCCCCGCCCCGTGTCCCCGTCCCACCCCCCGGTGTCGTCGTGGGCAGGGCCTCCGAGGAGGCGGAGCGCGGCACCTAGGGTCCCCCGCCAGGGCTCCCGGGCCACCGCCGAGCTCCGAGGGCTGCTGGAACCCCACGCGGGGCGAAGCTGGAGAGTCGGGCTCAGCCCTGCACCCCAGTGCACCCTATGGCCACACCCTGGCCTGGGGTGCAGCCCCGTCACCTTGCTGACCTCTCTGAAGCACCCAGGCCGGTGGATTCGTGGAACCTGTAGCTGAGAGGGGCTGGCCCCGCGGCTGGTCAGGCCGAGTGTCCTTGGGTGTGACCTTGGGGACGGTCCTGCCTCCACTTTCCGGTGGAGCCCAAGTCTGCGTTTCCTGCCAGGGCCTGAGACCTTGGAAAGGCTTCCGACAGACGGAGGACTGGACGGACAGAGGTCTGGGGAGGAGGGACCAGGTCCATAATGAAAGAGCCTGCTGTTGCTCCTGGTCCCCTCCTGGCCACCAGGCCAGTCACCTAGTGCCCCCTGCTTCCTGGGCTGCAGGAGCTGAGCAGCCTCCCTGAGCTGCTGCTTTGGCTCTCGGTGATCAGCTTGAAGCGACAAGGCCCAGAGGTGGCTGGGGACGGGCAGAAAGGGTGGCCTGGCAGCCCCTGCTCCAATTCGAACCGGGCCTGGGCCTGCTCGCCTCTGCTGCCTTGCCAAGTCACAGGGCAGAGCTTAGGTTCTGGACCTGTGCCTCTCTTCTCTGGCCTCAGTTTCCACAGCTGAGCACGCATCTGAGGGGAGGCAGCTCTGCTGGGTCCAAGGAGGGCCAGACAGGAAGCTCTCTCCCAGCTTCCTCCCTGGGGCCGGGCTTCCTGTTGAGCCACATCCAGGGGGTTGAGGAGGCAACAGAGCCCTGGGCTGGGGACCAGTCCACCCCCAGCCCCTCACCAGGAGGCCTCATGGCCTTGGCAAACCAGTCTTGTTATCTTCCGGATGGGGCAAGGCTGACCCTGCCTCTCCCGGATCCTCCTTGGCCTCCACTGGCTCCTTGCAGCACAGGGTCCATGCCCCACCCCCAAGATGAGCGCGCAGGTGCAGCCCATGGACCCTCTGCGCCCGAGCCTCCGTGCTGCCCAGGAGGCAGGGACACAGACTGACATTCCCTGCTCTCGGGGTGCACATGTGTATCAGTGGCCTGCTATTCTGGAGACTCCAGGACACTTGTTCCTGCACCCACTGGGCCATGTGTGCAAGCCAGGACACGCGCATGCACACACAGGGCTGACCTGGCAGGCCTGGACTTGAGCTATTCTGGGCCGGGCCTGGGGCCAATGAGCTTAGCCGCAGCCAGCTCCCAGCAGGCCCCAGTGGCCGTGTCAAAGGCCAGGCTGGCCCCACCCCCACCCTGGCTGAGTCCCTGCCACCCTGGACCCCAGACTGGCTCTGTGACCAGAAGGTCCCCAGTGCTTCCCCACGGCTCCGGAGATAAACCTTGAGCCCCAGGACCTTTGGCTGGAGGGGAGAGCTGTTCACAGGGTCCCCTGGCCACTGCCCACTGCCCACTGCCTGGCCATCAGTTCCAACCCAGAGGCCCTGGAGACTGGGCTGGGTCCCTACAGGAAACCCACAGGAGCTAAGAATAGCATGGGAGGGACAAGCAGTGTTCTGTAGCCAGTATTTGGGCCACTATGCATGAGGGAGACGCTGACTCCTGAGCTCCCCCACCCCAGGCTGGCTGGACCCCTCTGAGGTACCCAAGTGTAGACAGGGCAGATGATAGCTGTAGGCCATAGGCTGAGTCGGAGTCCCACTTCCTGGGTGACCTCATGCAGGGCACAGCGCCTCTTCGGGGTGGGTCCCTCAGGAGGAAATGGGAGGGAAGAGTTGTACCAAGTGCTGAAAAGCCCTCAGAGGTGTGAAAAACTTTAACTTTCAGGATGTATTTATTTGTTTGGGGTTTTTGAGACAGGGTCTCAATATGTAGCCCAGGCTGGCCTCAAACTCCTAGTGATTCTCCTGACTCAGCTTCCTGAGTGCTGGGAATACAGGCATGCATCACCATGCCCGGCTTCAACACGGTATGTAATATTAGAGAATTGGAAACACCCAATGCCCAACAATAGGGCATTGACTGAACAGGTATAGTTTGGATTATATGTGGTATAATGTTACACAACCTTTAACAGGTGTGACAATAATCACAGTGCTTCACAGGGGCTGTGATTTTGTGGTTAGACCTATTTTGCAGGTAAGGGCCGCAGCTTGGGGAGTTTAGGCTGACACCAGCGGGTCACAGTCTGAGCCTGCCCCAGAGGCTGCAGTGCGGTTTTAACTTTAATAACTTCAGGAGTTATGAGAGGACGAAAAGAGAGGAGGAAGGAGGAAGACAGAGCCGAGATGCATTATGTGCATGCAGTAGCGTCCCACAAGGATGGGATCACAATATACTGCAAACATGGACCAACAAAAAATTAAAATTAAAAAAAGAAGTTAGGAAGAATAAGACTACACATTTTTTTCTTGGTACCAGGAATTGAACTCAGGACCTTGTGCTTGTCAGGCAGGCGCAGCACCACTGAGCTACATCCCTGGCCCTAAAGCTACACATTTGCAAGAACCATAATTTGAAAGTTTGATTATTTAAATTTCCTTTATGCTAATTAGATTGTGTGATATTTGAATAATTAAAATTTTTGTCTTATTTTTGTCTTAGTTTGGTTTGGTTTTGGTTTTGGTTTTATTTTGTTTGCAGTACTGGGGATTGAACCCAGGCCCTTCATGCTGACCTACATCCCCAGCCCTTTTTTTATTGTGAGACACTAAGTTGCTGAGTTGCCCAGACTGGGCTGGGACTTGTGATCCTCCTGCCTCAGCCTCCCAGAGTGCTGGGATTAAAGGTATTTTAGGGGGGTTTTTGATACTGGGGGTCGAACTCAGGACCTTGTGCTTATGAGGCAGGTGGTAGAACCACTGAACTAAATTCCCGGCCCTACAAGCTAATTTTTTTTTTCCTACAAGCTAATTTTAACAGTTCTTTTTAGTCATCTTCAGAAGGCAAAAAAGAAAGTTAAATAATTAAATGTTCAAATGGTGCTTCTTGCAAATTTATAGCTTTGTACTCCTGAGGTTTATATTTTTTTGGGGGGGGGACTGGGGATCAAACTCGGGTCCTTGAGCTTTCAAGGCAGGCGGCGGAACCACTAAGCTAAATCCCCGGCCCTCCTGAGGTTATTAAAGTGTAAAACTGCACTGACTTTCAGAATACTCTGTCATTTAAGACTGAGTCAGTTGGACCCAAATCCTCTGTGACAGAAGCATACTTGACCCTGGAGGGGCACCTCTTGACCCAAAAACAGAAGAAATGAGACTGGGTGGACCTTTGCCAGCACACTCACTCCTGCGTAGGCAAGGCTTTATAGGGGCGCGGAGGGTAGGGGATCAAGCTGCGCACTGCAGTCCTGGGGGGCGGGGAGAGCGCACCAGGCCATTCCCATGCCAGGCAAGCTTTCCAAAGCTGCTTCTTCCTGGGATGAACTCGGTCAACTTCCTCTTGTGTTTTTGCACCGGGTAGGGACAGCAAAGAGGTGACAGAAAGAAAAGGAAACATACCTGCTCCGATGGACAGTAGGCCAGATTAACCTGGTATTATAGTTTGGGACAAAACGTTTTACAAATATTTTATATTGATTTAATCTCAATTAAGTCACTAAGTGGCTGGCTCGAACTTGTTATTCTCCCGCCTCAGCCTCCCAGAATGCTAGGACAATGCATTTTCAGATGAACAGCACGACTGTGTGCAGCACTGAGGAAAATCCGAGTCAAGATGAAGACAGATGCCAAGGGTTTATCCCATTTTACTCACCTGTCGGACCTCTATAGGGTCAAGCAAAGAATCAGCGTTTTAGCAGAAACAGCGACCCTCACAGCCAGGTTCACTTAGCCCCAGTACATCTGGCCACCCTCACCCCATGTCCTGAGGGTCACCCCTGGCTGGTCGCTGTGACTCTCCCTAGCTTGGCCTGGGGCCACTGAGAAAGCAGGGGACAGAGAGGTGTCAGCCAGGCAGGGTTCCTGTTGGCCAGGATGGGGGATCCCAGCCCCCCCAGACCCACAGAGAGACCCCCTCGTGGGTCCCCTGGACCTGTGCCACCAGCCCTGCCACGGTGCTGCAGACGCCCCTGCTTTGACCCAGTTCAGCCCTGCACCTCTGACCGGAGTCCCTGCCGAGGGGAGCCGGGCCCCTCCCCGAACCCCCTGTCCACTGTGCCCTTGGTGACCGGAGACCTGGGCCCTTCCCCTACCGCCCAGCAGGCAGAAAGTCAATAATGGATGGGAGAGGAGGGTCCTCCACTCCAGCCCCTCTGGACCCCCCACCCCTGGCTCCTCAGGGCTGGGCTGGGTGGGAGCCAGAGGGCGGACTTCTCTGGGGTTCAGTGTCCAGGCTAAAGTCCGTCAGGAAGGCTCAGATAGCAGCCCCCCAGCACCCCCAGGGGCAGCCCCCCATGGCAGGGCAGAAGATGTCAGCTCCTTCCGGAACCTTCCAGGCACCAGCGGCAGGTCTGGCCGAGCCTTGCTCCGCTCTCTGGCCCCCCGCCCCCAATCCGGGTCTGGTGTCCAGGGTGACCAGAGCCGCCTCTGGGCAGGAAGCCAGGGCAGAAAGCCCAGGACATCCCTGAGCGCCTGTCACCATGGCAATGTGCCTGCTACACACCCACCCCAGCCCAGGTCCAGTAGGGTTTCTTCAAATTCAGAGCGTCAGAATGGGAAGGGCCTCCCAGATCAGCCAGTGCCAGCCCCTCCTCCGTCCCAGGTGGAGAAACTGAGCCCCAAGAGGGGAAAGGGTGGATGGAGGGGGCACCTGTTGATTAAGGACCCGCCCCCATGCTGTCTGTCTGTCTCTCTCTCCCCCCTTCGCTGGGCCAGGGAGGGGTTCGGAGTCTGATCTCCCAGGAGGGACAGCGGGCAGGCGGGGATGTGCCGGCAGCCGGAACCCGACACTGACAATGAATAAATGATGCTGCTTGCCCGCCGCAGCCAGAGCTCCTGGACAGCCGCCACCCAGCGCCAGCACCACTAGCCGGGCACTCGCCGAGTGGCCCACCGCCTGCCACGGTCTCTGCAAGCCGCAGCTGCAGGAAGATGGCCGGGCAGCGGCAGGGCACGGGGCCCCTGTGGGCACTGGGGCTGTGCCTCGCCGGGGTCGCCGGGCAGCTGGTGGAGGTGAGGCGCATGCGGAGGGCAGGGGTCCCGGCCCAGTGGGGGCTGTGGGAGTGCTGGCTCTCCTGTTCCTCTGACCCGGAGGCCTGGCCAGTGGGGGCTGCCGAGCGGAGAGGACTCGGCCCTGGGGTCCGGGGTCTGACGAGCACCAGTCGGGGTGGGGTCGCTTCCTGTCTGACCCCTGTCCACCTGGGGACACAGCCCTGCCCCGGGGGATGGGGAGAGGGCTCCTTTCGTCCACCGGTGGTCTCCTGGGCAGGAAGGACAGCTGACGGTCTCCTTGACCTTGAGTCTGATGGGGAGGCAGGCCCTGAACTCGGGGTGCTCTGGGGGACGCAGCCTCTGCCCTTGGGAGCAAGGCGTCAGGTGGGGGCCAGCGGCTCAGCCAGGTGGGGGTGACTGGACTGTGGGAGGGGCTGGTTGGGTCCTGGTGCTGACCGCAGGGAGACAGAAGCACAAGAGACAGTGAGAGGTACACAGGGGCCCCCAGGCTGCTATGCTGGGGGACAGGAGGGCGCCGGGAGGACAGAGCCACACCCAGGTGTCCGAGGGACACAGCCCTGAACTGCAGGGTCTGCGGGGGACATGGGACAGAGCCCCACACTCCCGCTTCGCCTGTCCCTGCTGCTGCTGGCCAGGGGGCGTGACAGGAGAGCGAGCTGGGTCCGATGTCAGCTCCAGGGTCCCTGTACGGGGACCCAGGAGGCTTGAGCCCCTGGAGTGGACCTGGGCTCCTCACCAGCGGCCCGGGGAACAGAACCCGAGCTGGCCTGGGTGCAAGCAGAAGGCAGGGCGGGGGTGCTCGATTCTGAGCCAGGACTCCCCCCCACCCCCAGGGACGGGTCTGCGCCCCCCCACCAGAGCGACTGGCTTCAGAGCCCTTCCCCTGCCACCCCGGAAGCATCCAAGGGATGGGCAGGGCTGGGTCCACGTCACCCACCCAACTTTCAGAACTTGGACCCCAGTGGGGCCCCGACCCCTCCAGGGCAGCTCCGCCCACCACAGGCTGGGCAGGAAGGGTTGGGCTGAGCCCTCCGCTGCCAGCTCTGAGCCCCGGGACTCCACCTGGGCCTCACAGCCCAGCCAGGCCACACGCTGGACCTCAGAAGTAGAGACCACTGCTGCTGCCACGCCCCCCGCCCTGGTCATGCCCCAGCCACACACAGGCCTGCACCACAGCCCTGTGCCCACCCCGCAGCCCGGCCCCGGTGCCCGTGCCTGTGCCTACCCCACGGCGTGCCTGACCCCACGCAGTGTCTTGTCCGTTACCGCGGGTTGGGTAGAGAGGGCTTTCCCAAGCGGCCCGAGGCCAAGCAGGGTGGGGAAGCTGAGGTCCAGAGGAAAGCGGGTGGCGAGGGGATCGGGGGCAGCCAGGGGGCTCCTGGAGCCTGTCCCTTCTGGGTCCCGTGCTGCACGGAGGCCCAGGGTCCTCCCTGCCTTGAGCACTGACCCCACTCCTGTCCCTCAGCCAAACTTGGTGACCGAGAGAGGGTCAGGGCCTTTCCTGGTCAGAATGGCTCTGCTCAGACTCCACAGGGCAGGGCCGTGTCCTGAGACACTCAGGACAAGGTCACAGCCCCTCAAGACCCGGGGACTGGGCTGCGTCCCCAGACACCAGGATGGGCTCAGGTCCCCTGTCCCTTGGGGTCGGACTGTGTCCTCCAGAAACACAAGGCGGGACAGGGTCCCTTTATGCCTTGGAGAAGGATCCTGTCCCTTCAGACCTGGGGCGGGCCGGTGTCTCCTAGCAACCCAGGCAGGGTCAGGTCCCCGCAGGGCCCAGGGCAGGGTGGTGTCCCAGGTGGCCGGGGGTGGATGGGACCCCATCCAGGCTGCCAAGCTGCGCTCACATCTTTCGGCCTCTCGGCAGCGCTGCTGTATTACCGCTATTCCTCCTGTCCTGCGAGGACTCTGTAGGTCATTGTGAGGCCACCTGGTGGGGACCCGGGGCAGAGCAGCACGGCCTGGGTCCCTACGGGAGAGCGAACCCTGTCCCCAGCGCAGGCCAAGGTCCTGAGCCCCAGGCCGTGGCCTGGACGGCAGGAGGTGTCCACAGGGCCCTGGGCCTGGCTAGACCCGCTGCCCAGGCTGGCTCCTGCTGCCCCAGTTTCCCACGCGCCAGCCGCCCTTGTCCCCCACGTCATCCATGTATGGTCCGGGGCTCGGCTCAGTTTTCCGGTTCTCAGCCCAAGCTTCCTGAGGTCTATGCTGCTGGCTGGATTGCAGGAGGTTCTGACATCGGGCTGAGTCCTCGCTGAGACCTGGACCTCTCGCTCCGAGCCCTCCTGCCGGCCTCCTCCGCCTGCCTCACTCCTCTCTCTCCGCAGCCCAGCACCGCCCCGCCTAGGCCCAAGCCACCCCCGCTGACCAAGGAGACCGTGGTGTTCTGGGACATGCGGCTGTGGCACGTAGTGGGCATCTTCTCGCTCTTCGTGCTGTCCATCAGTGAGTAGCCACCCCGCCTCTCCCCAGCTGCTGCAGGGCCTGCACCCCACACCCGGCCCTGCCATCCCGCAGCTGGGAGCAGCAATTCTGGGCAGTGCATGCAGGCCAGGAGCCCGCAAGGGCCCCCACTGTGGCTTCTGGCACTTCCGGAGCAGCACACAGCCCTCGGGGAGGGCTGACCTGAAGATTTCTGCTGCTGGATGCGGGAGGCAACCACACAGCAGTTAGGGTAATTACAGGGGCCTTCGCCGAGGGCAGGACGTGTCATTTTCCCTGCGGCCTCCTCAGGCGGTTCCTGCAGCCTGGCCAGCTCTCAGGGCCCACACCCAGGGGCCCAGCGAGGCCGCCCCCCACCAGCGGCGCCCCAGATGCCTGGCAGATGTGGCTCCCGCTTCAAACTGCCTCGTCCATTTCCATTTCGGGGAGTGACTCAAATCAAAGCAGGAGGCCGGGCCTCCCCGGGGTCTGCGTGCAGCATTGTGCAGTCAGCCAAGCAAGCCTCAGCCCCTCATCGGCCCTTTCCTGGGTCGGGGTCTGGAGTCTGGAAGGGGACAGAAAATCCCCATGAAATCCAGGCCAGGTGTGGGAGGCTGCTGGGGTGCGAGGTAGACTCATCTGACCGAGGGTCCCACAAGGGAAAGCCTGTGGGGGTGCAGTGGAAAGGGAGGGGAACCCACTCCCCCATCCAGGCCCTCAGAGGGGGCAGTGGGGCTGTGCCAGGAAGGTCAGCCAGAAAGGCACCAGCAGGAGGGAAGGGTGAGCAGCAGCGGGAGGCCACTGTCTCAGCAGGCCGTCAACCCAGGGCACCCTGTTTGAAGCTCCAGCACTTTCCCGAGAGGAGATGTCCAGGGGCAGGACGGCCCACAGGGGGCCCGCGCCTTGGACATTCAAGGCCAGCAGCCAGATGTGAGGGGCTCCAAGGAAGACAGACATTTGACTCCCATGTGCCTCTCCTGGGGCCAGAGAAAGTGTGCCCTCCTCCCTCCCCTCTGATTAAGAGGCGGCCTTTGCTCCCAGCTGAGGCCCAGAAGCAGGCCGATCACCGAGGCCCAGCATAGACAGGTACCCATGCCTGTAGCCCAGGGCAGGGCTGGGGACCCATCTTCCCCAAGGACCCCCAGTAGCAGCCCCGAGCACAGGTCTGGGGAGCAGCTCTGGGTCACCCCAAGGACAGAGGGGGAGAAGCTGCGAGCCTCCCACACTGGCTGTGCCCGGCCCTCAGTGGCAGTGCCAAGGGCCACAGCAGCAATGGGCACAGTGTCACTTGGATGTGAACCACACAGAGCAGCCCCGACCCTACCTGGTTTCCTGAAAGGGCAGGGGTCAGCCCCAGGTCAGGCAGGCAGGAACCCGACACCTTCCAGGGTGGGTAGGAAACCTCTGTCCCCCAGGCTGCTTGGCCAGGTTTCCTGCCGCCCTGGACGTGAACTTGACCCAAAGCACTTTGTTTCTCCCCTTCTCTGAAGAGAAGCATGCAGGCGGGGCGGGGTCCGGACAGGCGGGCCCAGAGTAGGGCAGACACTGAGCCCTGCTCTGGCTGCCAGTGGCTGCCTGCCCACGGCCCGGGGGACACAGTCCTGAGGGGGAGCCCGTGGGTGGCCAGGAGCAGTGGTCCAAGCCAGTAGGGTCAGGTGGGGGACCAAGCCCAGGTCTCACCCACCACGGAGAGGGCTGGCCACCTTTGGACGAGGAAGTGCTGCCCTCCGCTCAGCCGAGTGCAGAGTCCTGCTGGCCACACCCTGGGAGCCCAGTGCTGTTGGCTCCCAGTCTGCTCATTCAGGCCCAGTCCTGTTCCCCGAAGCAGAGCTCTGGGGCCATCCCATTCATTCATCCATTCATTGCGACTGGAGCCGAGGTCCTTGAAGGAAGGGACACGGCTGGGCTGCACACACTGGCCCTAGGGGGTGCTCCAGCCCAGGCCACCTAGGTCTGATGCTTTTCCTCCAGATAGGCCTGGCTTGTGAAGCCTGGGTCCTCCCGCCCTCCAGGAGTCAGCCAGGAAGCGTGGTCTGCCCATCTGATTTATAATAAGAACCATCTCCCCCCCTCCCCTGGATGGAGGGCCAAGGTGGTCAGACTGGGAGCCTTAGAAAAATAAACTCAGTCCAGCCAGGTCCTGACAGCCGCCCCCTGCTCTGCCCTCACTGCACAGGCCAGTGCCATACCCTGGCCCAACTGGCATGGGCGCAGCTGCTCTCGGTGGAAAACCACTCCTGGAATAGCTCTGGTGAGGTGAACGCCCTGGGCAGGGTCCGGACCCCTCCCTGGTAAGGCCTCAGCCAGCAGGGGCCCAGGGGACACTCAACCATGTCCCCTGAGGCCACACTGGCCATGTCAAAGCCTGGCAGGACAGCGGGTGCACAGGAGCGGCCCAGAGGCCTGGGGGAGGACCCAGCTTGGGGTGCCGTGCAGCCCGGGCCTCCCTCCAGCCAGCACCGGGCAGAGGGTGCACAGGGCGGGGCCAAAGACAGGAGCAGAGCCCATGGCTCGTGCCTTTCCGGGCCGCCTGAGGCCCAGCCCCGGCCAAGCCTACTCTGCCCTCCCCACAGTAATCACCCTGTGCTGCATCTTCAACTGCCGCGTGCCGCGGACCCGGAAGGAGATCGAAGCCCGGTACCTACAGCGAAAGGCAGCCAAGATGTACACAGACAAGCTGGAGACCGTGCCGCCCCTCAACGAGCTCACGGAAGTCCCTGGAGGTGAGCAGCCCCAGCCCCGCCCTGGCACCACTGCTGCCCAGAGTCACCCTGTTCCTGCCCTCCCCCTGCGCCGGGGTCACAGGCACAGTGATCCCCGCTCAGCTTCTTTCTCTCCCCACAGAGGACAAGAAGAAGAAAAAGAAGGGCGGCGTGGACACAGTGGCCATCAAGGTAGAGGAAGACGAGAGGAACGAGGCCAAAAAGAGGAAAGGAGAGAAATGAGGAGCCCCGCGAGGCGGCAGCCGGGCTGGCAGGCCGGGACCCGGGCAGCTTGGGCTCTGAGCTCAGGTGTGGCCCACGGAGCTGTGTCCTCAGGACGCGGCCAATCCGCATGGCCCGGCAGGTGCAGGGACGAGACCACACAGGTGCCGGCCTCCCGCCCCCTGGCGCTTTCCGAGGGCTGCTGGCCCCACCCGGCTGCGCCTCCGCTCACCCTTGCTGCTGGGGGCAGCAGTGGCCAGGTGGTGGCGGGAGCAGTTTCCTCTGCACCGACAGGCTGGAGTGACAGACCACCCCCGGCTGCACACAGGCAGAGAGAGGCCGCCTGATGACGGGGAGCCTGCCCCAAGCCTGGCGGGGTCCTGTCCCTGGGGTGAGGGGGGCGGGAAACAGGAGACCCTGGCCCAGCGGACCCCAACCTCCACACCATGACGTGCACTTGCTTCGTCTCTCCCAATGGAGCTGAGCTGAGCTGGGAGACACTGATGTAAGGCCCAGGGGCCCCCAGCTCCTAGGTGGGCTCGGGGTACAGAGAATCAGGGATGTGCAGCCGCCGTGGCAGCTCTTTCTACGGCCAGCAGTGGCCGGAGGTTTCAGGGTCCTAGGGGCTCGAAGCAGGGCCACAGCCAGCTTCCAGCTGCTCTGTAGGGTGGCCTCCTCCCTCCCCACTGCCAACAGCAGCGTCTCTGACTGCACCAAGGGGGCTGGCCCTGGGGAAGGGAGAGGGGCAGGGGCTTCCACGGCTCCGGCTCCGACCTGAGCCTGGGGACTCAGGAGGCAGCACAGGAGGTTCCCAGCTGGGGCGCTGCTGGAAAAGCAGCCTGCAGATTTGTAAATAAAGCTGAGTCCTCTCAGAGCCCTCGGGTGTGCTGTCCCTGGGGCACTGTGTGCAGGTGACGCAGGCAGCAGCGGCAGGTGGCTCGGGCCAGGCTGTACCTCCCTCCCTGGATTCTCCCGGCCCGATGATGAGGGTGTCAGAGGAAGGGGGGCCCAGAGGCTGGCCAGGCAGGAAGCCCCGGCACCAGGGAGGATGCAGGTTCTCCAGGCTGTCTCCCCTCTCTGCCCACGGCTCCCAGGGGCCTCTGACATCTGAGCCTGGGGCTGGGGACTCACAGATCGGCCTCCTACAAGGAGCAGAGTGATCCAGGAGGACAGGAAGGGGCTGGGGAATCACAGAGGGGCCTGTCATGGGAGCTGGGTACTCTGCCCCCCAACAGGGGCAGCTGCTGCCCGGTCCCCTCAAGATGCAGCCATGGACTCCTCTGCAGAGGCCTGGCCAGGTCATTGTCCCCTGCAGGTCAGAGCCTCCCGTGTGCAAGGCAGGGGAAGTTCCAGGCAGGGCCACGCAGCGCCAGCCTGGGGATGCCTGTGCCCCTCTGACCTGGGATAAGGTCTCATGGAAGGAGCCCACTCCCCTCCCACCCCAGCGATGCAGCTCCATCCTGCTTGGGGTCCCTGCAGCCGCAGTTTCATTCCAAGGCCCTGTCATTGGACCCCGTGCCACTCTTCATGATCCCCCCAAGTTCTGAGGCAGATCCCGGAGCCCCCCAGAGCCCCCCAGAGCCAGCCCAGGGAGAGTGGGGCAGGAGATGAGGATAGAGAAGCTTTTAATGGAGCCAAGCATCACAGAGCAGCCAGGAGGCTGAGGGGCAGTGGCAGGGCCAGGAGCAGGGCTCGGGACGGGGCGCGCAGGCCCAGGGGCTGCCCGCCAAGCTGGGCTCCGATCCAGGACTGGTAGGGGGAGACTCGGAGGAAGATGGGCTGTGCCTCTTTCTTCCTGCAGCCTGCACCCCAGCTCACCAAGCCCACCAGGTATGAGGTGCCCTCAGAGGAGCAGACCAGGGGCTCACCAGGGGCGGGTACACAGGGTCAGGGACACCCCCAGACCCCCTCCCCATCTCCCTCCTCCGCCCCCAGCTCCCCTCACCCAGTCCCTTCCCTGTCCTCCCGCCCCTCCGCCTCCAGGGGTCCCTGGGAGAGGGGAGGGCGGGGTGCTCACCTGGCAGAAGTGCTCCCTGCTGGGGTCCGTGGCACAGATCATCTGGGAGGTGACGATCCACACCAGAGAGGAGATGGTGGAGAAGATGTGGTAGAACTGGGCGCACTCCTTGTTGTCCAGGACGCTGACCTCCTTCTCCTGGATGGTTCGGAACTGGGGCCACTTGCCTGCGGGACGGGACAGGCCTGGCTTACTGCCACTCACGGCCACCAGCTGTCTGTCCCCACGGGCCTCTTCCACGTGTCACACAGTGGGCACAGCCTGTCTGACCCTCCAGCCACCACCCGCCATCTGGCCTTGCTTCCTGAGGAGTCTGGGTCTCCCCCACCCCACTCCAGCAGTCAGCCGTGCCTCTTCGCCCAAGGCCATGTTCGGGGATGAAGCCCCCTGTACCTGAGCCTCCCCAGACCCCATCCCTTCCCCCGTGTGTCCCAGGAAAGGAGACTCCTGGCCATTCCCAGCTACTCCCCAGCATGGGCTCTTCTGGGGTATGGTCCCCTGGGGACACAGGGAAGGGCACCCCTCTCAATGGGAGGCTCCCCAAGGGAGTGGACATTCCTGGGGCACCCAGGTGGTCCTGAGAATATGCCTGCTTTGGAGGCTTTGCCTCACGTTGGAACAAGGGATAGTGGCTCCCAAAGAGAGGGAGGAGCCCAAAGAGACGCTGAGTTGCCCCCGGCCCCCAGGGGCAGATACAGGGCCCTGCTGGCCTCCCGGCAGACACTATCCTTGGTCAGGTGTGGCCTTCAAGAAAGTTCTACCCATCTGCCTGGCCTGGGGTCCCCGAGGCCCAAGCGGCCGTGATGTGTGCACTTCCTGGACACTCCAGGACCCATCAGGATGGTCCATGAGGGTCCCCAGGGTCACCATCGGCCCTGGAGAGACCCCAGCCCATCACGGTGCAGCGGCAGCCGGGCTCCAGCTCATAGTGCAGGTCCTGCAGGCAGATGGGCCACACGTACTTGCTGTAGTTGAGCGTGTGCTGGAGCTTGAGGAGGCCAATGTTGTTGGCCTGGCCAATCCAGGAGCAGAAGCGCTGGGGCCGGTACCTGGGGCTCACGATGACCTGCCCCACAGGGATATCGGCACTTCTTGGTGTCTCCTGGTCAATCCATGGGCTCCCCACCCTCGCCATGTAGTTCACGTGCTGCCTGGGGGACCCAAGGGGGCGTCTGCCATCAGCTCTGCTCCAACCACCCCCCCTAGCACGCTCCTCACAAAAGATGCGAACAGGGCTCCCTGTTTCCGTAAAATGAAAGGGGAAACTGAGGCTGGCAGAAGCCCAGGGACCCGCTCAGGGCTGCACAGCTGGCACCTGTGTGTGGACTCCCCAGCATCCTGTGCTGTGCCCTGGTGGGTGGGAGAGGCCCTGTGCAGTAGTCCACTGCCTGGCTCTCAGGCCACCCTCCCTGGGGCACCCCTGGGGTCCCTGTGTGGACACAGAGCACATGTCTCCACTGCCAAGGCCACTCCTGGGCCCCAGAACATGGGATACCCACTCTCTTGTCTCCGGACTGAGCTTCTGTCTCCATCCGCCTCCCCTCCCGTCCCCCTCTGCCCTCAGTGCTCTGGGGAGGGAAGAGGAAGAAATAAAGGGGCGGAGGGAAGGACCCAGGAGGTGGTGGAGGCCAGACAGATGGCTTCCAACGGTCCATTCCCTGTCACGGACAACTGCACAGCACCCGAGGGCCAGGTGAAGGGCACAAGGCGAGTGCACTGCCAAGGTCAGGCCTCAACAGCGTCTGCAAGATGCAGCTGCCACCTGCCCAAAGCTGGGGTAAAGCTGGGGCTGGGACGGGCACCCTCCAAGTCTCCACCATCACCCTCAGACTCCAACTCACTGGGTCAAGCAGTGGGGAACAGCCAGCACCCAGCGGGAGGCAATGAGGCTGCCTGCACAGATATGGATGTGGTTGGCTCGCACGCTGACCATCCAAGGTGCCCGCTGGGCCATGGCTGCTGCGTCTCGGAGCGTGGGGTCTGGTTCAAAGGAGGAGCCCCAGGCTGAGGAGGAAGAGAGAGCCTGACGGGAGCGCAGGCAGCCCGGGGTCCCCTCCACTCCACCGGACCCTTCACAGCCGCTTCCACGCGGCTACCAGGCCCCACCCCACCGGCTTCTCTCCCTTCTCTGGGAGCCCCTCCTGTGACCCGGCAGACACACAGGCAAGGCAGACCGCAGCCCTGTCCCGTGGGGGAAAGGCCAGTGGCAAATGGCCCGGAAGCTGCCTGGCCTCACAGATGCTCCGAGGTTCTGGCCCACGCCTGCCTAACCTGCAGGATGGTGAGGGTTATGGCCCTGGACTCCCCCTGCTGCTGGTGGGAGTGCCAACCGCTGCGGCCACTTTGGGGGTATTTTTAGAATAGAAGATGCCCTATCTGGCACCCCAGTGGTTCAGCTCCTGGGTGTATCCAAACGGATCAGTGGTTGGCATAATTGGTGTAAGTGGCCGGCCAGTGTTGTTATTTATTTGTTCATTTCCTTTGCACAGTGCTGGGACAGAGCCCAGGGCCTCAGGCATGCTAGACGAGCCTGCACTGCTGCACCCCAGCCCTGATCGAGTTTTAAAGGGTAACAGGGGAGACCCCAGTGGTCAAGGCAGGCCAGGTACTGCGTGTTCCCCAGCAGCCTCTGTAGGCACAGCTGAGCGTGGAGTCCAGGCTGAGAACTGTGGGTCTCAGCGGAGCCCACAGCCCGCACCTGTGCCTGGAACACCAGCGCTCACAGCCGCTCGGGGCTCCCTTCCATCCCTCCTCGCCCCGAAGTACTCACAGGGCATAAATGTGGGCTTGGGTGCAGAACGCGGCACCCGGGAGGTTGGGGCCTGGTGGAGAAGGCGAGGCTTGCCGGGAGCACAGGTGGCGGCTCTGGGGACACAGGTGGCTCCTGGAGCACAGAGTTCACCAGGGTCGGCCGAGGCAGCAGTGGACAGCGCCCTGGGAGCGTGGCCTCTGCCCAGACAGCCTGCAGAGGACACAGAGAGGTCGGGGCAGGTGCGGGGGCTGGGGCGGAGGATGGGCTGGGGGGTGGTCTCACCCGGGGGCAGGAGCAGGGGCAGCGCCAGGAGAAGCACGCAAGCTTGGGCCGGGGCGCGCGCACGGTGACCCCAGGCTCCACGGGGACCGTGGGGACCCCGCCCGCCGGTCAGCATCCTCCAGCAGGGCTCCAGCCGGTGTCATCGGGACCACGGCGCCCCCTGCCGGCCGCCGCCCTGAATGGCCAGGTCCCCGCGACTGCGCCCCCAGCGGCCAACCGGCGTGAGCCCCTGTCCCCGCCCTGCCCGCTTCCTGCTCCCCAGCACCTCGGCCAGTGACGGGAGTCTGTCTTTGTTCTGCGGGCAACCCTGCCAGTGACAGGAAGCCTAACCCAAGCCCCCACGGCGGGCACCCTGCATCTCCAAGCTCCGCCCCCACCCCTCCGGCCAGGCCAGCGATGTCCTGGATTCAGATCCATTTGCTCAGGAAAGGTGGCCCGGGGGAAGGGTCCCACTGCCAAGAGTGTGGTTCACGGGACCAGCGCGGGAAGGGGTCACTTCCGACGTTGGAGTTTGGGAGGGCGTGGCTCGGTGGCACAAATGGGTAGTGCTTTTAAAAAGTAGTGTTGGGGAATCCTTCCAGGAGCACAAAGCCATCGGAAGATTCCAGCCTCATCAAAGATGAGGTGAATAGGGCCGGGGATTTAGCTCAGTGGTTTTGCTGCCTGCTGCGCAAGAGCAAGGACCAGAGTTCGATCCCCAGTACGAAAAAAAAGATGAGGTGAATGAGCTAGGACACACTGACACGTGTCAAGGCCTCTGGTCTTGGGAGAGATGCCTGAGCGCCATTCTGTGCTCCACCCTCTGGAAGGAGGGTGAGCACACTGTTACAGCTGTGTCCCATGTCCCCCAAAGCCTCATGTGGATGAGGTGGGGCGTTCTTTTCCAGAGGTGGCTGAATCTGGAATGTGTGATGCTGGGGTTAAGGGCCTGTGATTAAGCCACTGCACGTGAGTGACTGGTTTGGCACTGCCCTGACCCCGGTATCTGGGTGGGATGAAAGGGACAGAGAGACGTTAGGGTCCCATGTTGCATTACCGCCATCTATCTGCCGTGAACTGTGCTCTTCGACGCTCCTCTGCCAAGCCGCTTTGCTTGGGGGCCAGCAGACTATGGACTGAAACCCCTACAAACTGTGAGCTAAATAGACCTTTCCCCCTTTAACTTTGGGTATCGGGCATTTTGTCTCAACAATGAGAGAAAAGTAACGAACACTGGCACCTTAGAGATGCTGGGTGCCCTGGGGGGAAAGGGTGGCTGGCTGCTCAGAAGCTGAGGCCCCCCAGGTCTGAGACCCTCACCACCACTCAGGCTGGCCAGTTAGGGCCTTGCCTGTCTGCTCTCTGGAGTATGATGGAGCCACAGAGGCCGCTGAGCAGCTCAGGGCACTGTCACCGCACATGAATCCAGGCAGGCACTCTGCCCTGCCCCACAGCACCCAGGCTGCTGGAACCTGTGGACCCTCAGGAGGGTAGGAGGGGTTGGGAGAGGCCCAAGGGCACCAGAACAGTCCACAAGCACAGGGCTGTGATCTGGCTGTCACGGGTTTCACAAGAAGGCCTGGGGGAAATGTTCAGGGAGCCCAGCAGAGGCCCTGGGGACCAGGGCTGCTAGAGGACCAGGGAGACTTAGCAGGGACCTATGAGTAGAAGAGGAGTAGAAGAGGAAACTGCCGCCCAGAGAGGGGACAGGTTACCGAGCTCACGCTACAAGCACACACGGACATGGGGCCAGACTGTGGGGGCAGGCCTCAGACGAGGGGTCTGCCGGGCTCTGGCCAGAGTCAAGGACAGAGGATGTCAGCGGTTAACGTCAGAGCATCTCCATTGAAGAACTGAAGAGAAACAGTGGGGCCAGGGCCTCCCCCAAGTCTCTGCACCCGATATCCTCTGTAGCCAGTGGTCTCTACTTCTCCGGGGTGCTGTCCTGAAACACAGCTCACAGAAGCCACAGAGAGCCCAAGGAGACCAGCAGGATGTGGCCAGCCAGCAGCAGCTGGCTTAGGAAGCTGTGGCAGACCCTGCTGCTGAACTTTAGGCCTCCGATCTGCTTTTTGATCCAGCAGCTGAAGTGGGAGGTGCTGGTGTAGATGCTCAGGAGGTGATGCCGCTGGCTGCACCCAGAGCTGCTGCTCACCACGCCCATGTGAATCCAGGTCTTGTTCACCTGGCAGACCAGGGAGCTGCTGGAGATGTCCTGCAGAGGAGGAGAGGGAGGCCTCAGGGTTCGCGGGAGCCCCCCACCCACCCACCACAGGGCAGGCTCAGCCTTGAACTCGCTCTGGTACAAAAGCTCTCCTCTTGTTCCCACCCTATAAACCCCAGTGGGGTCCCCAAGATGTGGCTACACACACAAACACACAGACACACGAGCACACACACACACATACACACCGCAGCCTGCTTAGAGAGAGCTTTTGGAAATGCAAAGCAGCTCCCCTCTTTTCTTACAAAAATAAGTGCACGTATCACAATAATATTCACAGTGGCATACATCAAAACGTAATAGCTGTTATTTCCAGTAATGCTGGGTTTCTTATGATTTTTGAACTTCCTTTACATTCTTCTGTAATGCTGGAAAATGTTATGAGTCAGAAAAGCAGCTCCTTAGATTTATTTGTCTGATGTAATACAAACTGATATTTATGGGACAAAATCTAATCAAAAGTCCACAAGACACCAAAGGAAAAAAATAATAAGGAGATTCTTAAGATCATAAAGGAACACCTGCATAGTGTACAGACACCGCTTTCCACAGAGGGGAGGTTGCGGTGCGCGAAACATCAACTCAGAACTGGGCTTCCTGCAGAATGGAAGACGGTACCCCACCGACCCGCTTGCTGCATGTGATAGCTAAAAGGGTGGGATTCCAAAAATGATCATTTCAAATGCACAAGTGAGCTGACGAGAAAGTAGACTCCCCTGAGCCCAAACTAAGTGAGGACTGGAATCCAGAGGGGCAAAGGGAATCCAAGGCCCTGGGCCACACCCAGTGAGGCTGAGCTTCCAGTGCAGCTTTGCTCTTGGGTGCCAGGGATGGAGGCACAACCCAGAGCCTGCCCAAGGAGGGCATGTAGGAGGGGACACCTCCGAGGACATCGGGAGATGCCCTGGTGTGAATGTTCAGCCTGGATTGGCACTGTCTGGGGGGTTCAAAGGCCTCAGCTGAGGATGGATGGCGTTTAAAGTGGTGGCTGTGCCCTGGCACCTGGCAGCTGGTGCCTGCTTTCAAGCACCTTTCAAGGCATCCCCAAGATAACACTCGAAAGGCCACGTCCTCAGCCCTCCAAGACTGTGCACAAGGAAACCGAGGCACCATGAGCCCATGCGCCTCTGAGAAACCAAGAGTCGGAGCCTCTGAGGTTTGGAACGGGGGCCTGGCCCGTGGGCCTCATGTGCGTAAGGCATTTCTCAGGGCTGAGAGAGTGTGGTGGTTGTGTTGTTCTTTATTCTCCATACCTATTTTATGAATATTATTTTGTCTCTATCCAATATAGAGCAAAACAATTAGAAATGTAACAGTATGGGCCGGGGATTTAGCTCAGTGGTTCTGCCGCCTGCTGAGGAAGTGCAAGGACCCAAATTGAAAAAAAAAAAATTGCAACAGTGTTCATTCTTACACAAATCTCTAAAGATCAAGCATTTCTAATTGACATTGGAACAGGGTTTTTTTTTTTTTCAGGAGCTCAATAGTCTGATCCTAGAATAATGTTGAAGAAAAACAGCCCATGAACTAGGTCAGTTTTGAGAAAGAAGAGAAAATTGGAAGAGCCAGGCTGGAAGCAGATTCACCAAGCAGATTCAACACTTATAATTACAGAAACAGGGCAGACCAGCATAGAAGCAGGAAAACAGACCAAGGGGCAGCAGAACAGCCATAAGCTGACTGTCCACGAAGGGACTTGGTGTGGTTTATGGAGGCATCAAGTCCCTGGGGGAGGAAGACTCTGAGGTAGATGGTGGAAAAACTGCCTCACCAGATAGATGGAGACAAATGAAGTTGGATCCTACCATAAAATAATCCAGAGGAAGTAAAGCTCTAAATGTGAAAAGTGTAAAAGCTCATTGAAAGCATACAGGGCCATGGCTTTATGCCCTGACATAAAGCACATTTTAAAAACAAGATTGAAAGCTGGACTGGGTGGTATACACAGGTAATCCTCGGGAGACTGAGACAGAAAGATCACTGCAAGTTCAAGGCCAGCCTGAGCTACATGGTGTGTTCGAGGCCAGCCTGACTAGGTAGTGCGACCCTGTCTCAAAACAAACAAACAAACAAAAAAAATTCAAATCTCACAAACTGGAAGAGGAGAAATATGTCCAGCTTAATTACACCAAAATGAAGGGCACATGTTCAGGAAGGTAGATGATGAATTAGATGTCGTTGAAGATAGATGAACTATGGAACTGGTAGAAGTGACAAGCAGAGCAGGAGAGCTGGGGAGGGGGCGGATGAAGTGCAGTGTAATCAAATCAGTTCTTCAGTTCCATAACCAAAGTGAATGAAAATTGTGAATTCTGATCAGGATGATGTTTGGGTGAGGAAGGAAGATTTGACACAGGACATGTGGGGCAGAGATTTCAAAGAATAAAGGCACTTAATGGAACTATCCAAACAAACTGAAATTCCTGCATAAACAAGTGTAGGTGGGAATACGTAGCACAGGAGCATGTATGCAAATTAACACACAGCACACCACGTATTGTTCAAAGATAAGAACATCTTTAAAGATGTGTATTAAATAGATTTGAGTAGATAGATGTTCTTTTCTACATGGTGCCGAGAACTGAACCCAGAGCCTCACACATGCTAGGTGAGTGCTCTACAACTGAGTCACATTCCCAATCTTTTAAAAAAAATTTCATTTGGGGACAGTCACTAAATTTCCCAGGCTGGCCCCAAACTTGGATCCTC